AGAAGAATACATAGTTGCGGCTGATTATATAGTAGGTTTAAAAAATCGTCTCTTCTCCAATGTTTCCCTAATCTAATTATCCTAAATTTGTAAATGTCAACCACTATCCTAAAATTTGTAAATAATTATATATAACTATTGAAATCAGTTCAGTTGATCTGATAATTACTCTCATAGTAATCGAGGAAACAATTACAGTAATAGTACATTAAAAAAATATATCAATATACACATATTGGATGATTTAACATTACAGAATAAAACATGTTTTATTCTTACTTGGTAAAAACATTCCTTATAGTAATAAATTTAAGTATTCATGGGTATTAAATCGTTATTAGTCTCACGACTGTACCTCAACCTTTTGAAACTATTATATTTCTCAATAGCTATCAATCAAACATTTTGTTTTCTTAACAAATAAATATTACAAATATCTACATACATATATTCCAAATAAAATTTTAAAGTGAATGTTTATTTTTCTTTTTTCAATATGATTTCTCACAATGAGATCTAAAATTTTAGCGAGTTTTATTCATTTAAATGAAATTTATATTTTTTGGGATATACTACGCGATTTATTGTTGTGAAAAAACTACACACTCCCGACGTTTCGGCTATTTTTCAGCAACCGTGATCACGGGTAAACGAGATGTAGAGTTTGTAGTTTTTTCACAAAAATAAACCGCGAAGTATATCCGAAAAATATTAGCTTCATTTAAATGATTTCTCATATTTTACGTGTGCATTGAAAACATTCATCAATCCTTATTAATATTACCATAGTTTGATCTATTAAATAACAGCATCGAAATGAATTAGAGCTTAAAGAATAGCTATTAACGAGGTAAAAGATATAATATTATAAAATATTGATAATAATTTTGTGACATTTATTAAAAACGATGACAAATGTTATATTATTCTGAATCATGATGCTTTTAAAATGAAATTAACAACGTGTAGCTTAAGAAGTAACATGAAGCCGGTTGTCACGCGATTTAGCGAATAATAAACAGTATCAAGGACAAGGAAGTAAGCTTCCAACATAACATCGTTATAAGTCAGTCATTTACATATTATTAATTTTATTAATAAAAACTTTAATTGATTTTCTCATATTATTTATGGAAAATAGTTTTAATCTAACGATTTCATTCTATAATCTAAGGATCGTTGGATGAAATTTTAATTATCAGATTTTATACTTTAATGTTTAAAGAACTAATTATTAAGCTCGACCCATCTTTTCTGATCTATTAAAATTTTATAGCAGGAAAAAAAAATATTGAGACCAATTATTTTTATAACCATAATATCGTTGCGGCTTTCTCACCCTAATTTTATTTTTTGACATAAAAATTCGCCCTACTTCCTTAACTCTAGGTCAAAGAAAGGGATCAAGAATTATGTCGACAAGTCGCTTAAGCGGCAAAGTTTTGATTTTATATTTTAATACTCATACTTTTATTTCGATATTGACAAAATTATATTTTTTCACTTCGGAATTTTTCATGTATTTTCTAATACGTAATGACATGTTTATCATTAACTTAGGATCAATGTTTGATTATTATAAGGAAATGGTTTATAAATTATTGTAAAAATTATTTCCACTCTCAAAGCACGCAAGGTAATACTTACACTGTTTAGCATAAAAATATAAACGCTATACATTAATTACTGAAATACCACAGAAAATCATGAGGGATCACAAGGATAACTGCATTAGCCTTATATTACTTTTAGAATAACTACCCACATGTGCTAAAACTTAATTACAGCATTTATGGTATCACATGAAAGGTATATAAAATGCTAAAGAAACATTTATAGATGAATAAAATTTAATGCACGCTAATGGAATCATAATTTAAATATAATAAAAACTTTCATATAACATATTTTTAAAGTCTTATCTTACTTGTCGTTGTGTGCGTACAATATCAGCGAAACGCGCTGGCAAGATGAGCACGCGCATTTATCTGGCACCAACAATCAAATACCGTTTATTTCGGCTACAGTACAAACGTAAAAATAATGACATTCCTGAAATACCAGACGGTGTTACGTATTATTGACTCGTCTATAATTTTCTGTCTGCAATTTTACGCTCTCAAGGTTATAATACGTTTTAATGTAGTTTTAACCTGTTGCAATTATGATTATATGTGTTATTCAACAAAAAAAAAGTATATAAACGACACAAATTTCCCAGCCAAAATCAACTCTAGGTCATTATTATCGTCACACAAGTTTCGCCAACACGTACTGGGGATCAGACGACCCAGTCACAATACGGCGTATTAATAAATCCAACATTGACAAAGACCGCCAAAACACCTGGCCAGTGGCCAATCATGAAAAAATATAAGCCTATATAAATGGAACAATCCCAGTGACGTTACCACATGTCTAACATCTTAGACACAGAAATAGGAGATGAAAAGTAAAAGCCGTTACGGTAGCCAGCACACTGTTTCGTAATGGTTTAATTACTAAAAACATCCCTACTTATAATGATAGTAATTATAAAAATTGAAATTAAACTGCGAAATATATGCTTGGGCTAGAAATATTAAATTTATTACGTATAAAAAATAAAAATTAAAAAACAATAATTTTTATTTCAAGGGATTTTAGTAAAAGGTTTACCATATTTTCATCTTATATTAGTAAAGGAATAATTGATGTTATTTTTTAATATTTTATATTATTTTTTTATATGTACATATATTTATGGTACATAATTTCCCTTGTTACAAATTAAATAAGTAATAAAAATTAATTCTTACCTTTGGTGTCTTCATAAAAGCCATTTAAATTGTTTTATTCCAAATAGGGATAATTTATCATTTATAGGTTGGTTAACAAAATGTTTTTTTATTTATTAATCGTTTGTACGACACCCAAACGACATTAAATTATTTTTTCTGTCTTTGGCAGTAAACATAAAATTTTTCCACAACTCAAACACGTGATAACTTCAAAGAATTTTCTATGTTTTTAGTATCAAATTCCATTGAAGTATCCTTTTAAAAAAACAAAGTAGTTGTCATCAAACAAAGGTTAAGTAGCAATTAAATTAATATTCTTAAAGTAAATAATATACCTATACGAAACAACTGAAATGTAAATTAATTTTCAAAACTTTATGCTAAGGAAAAATAATCTGAGACTCGAAATAATGAACACCTAGGTTTGGACTTTGAATTGCACTTTGTCATTTATTTTTTCATCGATCTCAATCATAGAGTATATGACGTCATGTTTCGTCCCGGGCTAGCAATCCCCTACGTAACAACAGAAAACGTATTGCGAGGAATTCTATATAAATAGAATGCCTCCATCTAGCTCCCGAGTACCACATGCTGGCATAATATTTACATCGATGTTTTACATCACGAACAATCGCATAACTCTTATTACTATACACATAAGGTCCATTTAAAAATGATAACTCTGACTCGTCGTGCCTATAAACTGGCAATTACATTGGTTTGTAGTTACTTTATAAGTAATGGGTAACGTTTTGATTATTATCGTTTATTTGCAACAAAAATATACAGATTTTAAAAGAGGTTTATGTAAATACTGCTCTATTTTGTTGTTAGAGTAGTAAATTATATTTCGCTGAAGAATAATGGCGGTAATTTATATTTGTATCTTATAGTAGAAATTATAATAAGATTGCAATAAACTTGAATAGAAATCATCGACTGAAATATTTTTAAAATGGTTTTGACATTGACCAACGCTGTTCTGTGGATAGACATAATAATAGTTTCTTTAAAGTTTTCTGTTAAATAAGCCATGGTGTAGGAAATGATCGTATGTGGTTAAAAACGGGGACGCATGGAAGCCCATAAAATGCAAGCTAAAACAGCATCCACTTACTGAATTGCGTGGGGCCTAAAGTTATCGAACACTACTTAACATATGATGTTTTATTGGTTCACATATTTACTGGTCATAAAATTGATACTTTTATCATGTGCTTATAAGTAATAAATGTAGTAAATGGGGTAATTTGTTTGTTAATAATTCGATATGATCAATATAATAGTTAAATATCTACACTATATCAATGAAATTTTAACATCAATTAATGTGTGTATTTGGTCTCTGTAGAGGTATAAAATTCATTTCAATTTATAAGCGAGAGTAGAGCGTTTATATTAGAGTAAGAAGACATACAACGCTTAACGAACACAGTTATAGGAATTAACATGATACTATGAGATAATGTAATTAATAACTTTTGAATTTATTTTTAACTTTCCCATATAATTATTATTATTATCTATGTATTGTCGATATTTCAATTAATATAAATTTGATACAAGAATCCGAATCAAATGCGCGGAATATGACTTGAAAATATGTTTAGATGTTAGATACACCTACAATATTATCCAAATAATTTTAATACTGATTTTATAATAATATTACTTGTTTTATTTTGTACCATCTCTTGTACCGTCACTTACATTGAAACCTTAGTACGTGTGACCATCCCGAGAATTTAGTAAAAGTACCCTGCTAGATTGTCGCCATCTGGTGTAGACTTACAGTAAACAATTTTAAAATAAGAAACGCCGCAACTTTGCATCTAAATGACAACAAGACTAAAAGCCTGGAAATATCTATGTTCTGTTATGTTAATAATAAATAAACCTTTCAGGAACAAAAGATAAAGGGATGTATTCATTCGTCTGTTCCAATTATTTAATCGCTTATAACTTCGCAGCGTTAAAGGGAGTACGTAAATGGCGAATGTTGTCTAACTATTGGGCACGGCAGCCTGAAACACGCGATCACTACATTCCGTTTAAACTATACTCCTAATAAGGTTTTAAATTCAAATCATCGTAAAATTCACAGCCATCTCAAAACGCGTGTTCATATGAGTTGGTAAGGCCTACAAGGTTATTCTAGACGCCGCTAACTAGATATAAATATTGGCATTTATCTATATATCAGTTTTCAACCGTCACTCACGCGAGCGAGCGCGTAGCGGATTGCGTAGCTAGCTCACGTCGGCATAGGCTTGAGATAGCACGGACACGAAGGTTGCGCCCGTGACCGCGCCCGCCCGCCCGCCGTGAGTCGCGAGCTCTCGTTCCTAGCGCAGTATCGTACTGCGCTCTCTGCACCTCGGACCTAGGACTGTGTGAGACGTGATGTGCCCGTGAGCTGATCATGTGCAGGCAAGTGTGTGTTGTGCGGGAGTGCGCGAGCGACGAGCGACGACGCCGGGCCGCGCGCCCTTAGACATGTGGACACTGCTGATGCCATTGCTGGCGCTTGTGTCGCTGGCGGATGGCGTATCCTTCGCGCCCAACAAAGAACTGCTTGAATGTGCAAGGTTCGTTGATCGTGACTAAAAAAATAAACTTTCATACAATTGTAACCTTCAAAGAAATTAGGCAAAGACCTTTGAAAATTATGAAATTCAAACATGTAATGTTCCATAAATATTCGTCAGGCGGTACGAAAAAACGTCGCTAATATATGTGGTGTTTATGAATACCTAAAAATAATTGTCTTTAATATGTACTAAAAATACCTGTAGAATATTGACCAGACTTGAACTATCTTTCTCTAGAGCACTTATTCAAAAGAGAGCAATCTTAATGCTTGTTAATAAGGTAATAGAAAATTATAATAAAATTCTTAACATTGGATTTTTTAATTTTATAATACGTCAGCAAAGATGGCGGGATATTTGGCAAACCTCGTTGTTGACATAAACAAGTCGTCTGCAACCAGGTGCAACGATCTTACAAATTTACTAGACATGACCTGGTTTCATAAATCGTGCAATTAGGACCAATACATCTGATGTTCAGATAATTTGGAAGGATAAAGACGTGTGTTTGAGTGAATTATTATAATCCAAAATAAGTTGGTCTCCTTGACGATTTTTATTTAAATTGTTTACTGAAGTTTTTACTGTACAAATATAATATTTTTATTTCTCCCCTTTCAAGTTAATTATTAATATTCTATTGTTAATAAAGTAGAAATACGAAAAAACATAAAGTAATCTATGTATTTATAAAAAGGATACTGATACTCTTATTCTTTACAAACACTTATTATGTGCAAATTGTTAAAATTTAAAACCTTTAATCTTTAAAACCGAATGAAAAAATAGATTATTTTCCATAATTTTATGTATGTCTCTCCAATAATTTTATATTATTAAACATATCTATTTTTAATAATTAGACAAGTATGAAGCATTCTATAATAGAATATTTAATATAATAATTAATTAATTAATGTCTTTGTATTTCATCACTTGATCAGTTAAGGTAATTAAACTTATCAAATCGGGGAAGGAAATAAAACTTCTTCAAAGCTTTTACACAATTATTATGAAAAATTAATAATACAATTGATAACTATTTCAGTTTAATATATTTCAACTGTGATAAAAATCTCATTAAATCAAAGTAATGTAAAAATTTACATATATTGTTTTATGATTTAGCTGATATTATTAATGAAGCAATATCGTATTTATGAAAAATTGCATAAATACTCATTTGGATGACAGTTCAAAGAGCCGCGAACCCAAAAATACTGTCAATCGAACTCTAATGGCGTTGATTCTTTTTACTAATTACTAACTCCAGTTAGAAAAAGAGAGCATGTAAGTATGTGTATCAAGATAACACGTTGTGGATTCGCCGGAATACTCCAAAACTTATGTATTAGCATCATAATTGTTGCATTTCTCAGGTTTTAGAGTTTTTCTGCCTAATTTAAAGATATCTCGTGCTTATTATTATGTATTATTAACCATTCCCGAGTTCGTAAATTGTACACGACTTGTGCATTAATTCTTAACAGATACCTAACACATAATTACATAATATATGAGTTAAACTTTCAATCTTTCAGTCTTATAAGTTAAGAGTTATCGATAACTCTTAACTTCCTCTTGTAAGTGATGACATAACCATAAACCATATTGAAATTTAAACACAAAGTAAAAGATAACGCATTTCTGTTAAGTAATAAATCTTTTTAAAGTGCAACCTCTTTAATACAAAATAAGGACAATTAAATTAAACACACAATTTATTTAACAGCCTGTTAATTTTACTGCTTTTTCGTTACAAATATCAATTTCACTAGTTTTTCCGGTGCGGAAAATTTTGCGACATCGCCAAAGCAAGACTTCCGCATGACCTCCATAGATGTTTATTTCCTACCCTCATATTTCTCACCCAAATGTCAATCAAAACGAAGGCAGAGAAAATGTAAACGCAGGTGTAATTAAATTGGATTATATTTAGATTTTATGAAAAAAATTGGGTGAAATATTAGCAATGTATTTGTATTTTAACTAATAAAAAATTCACGTTTAGGATAACTAACTTTAATATTTGTTTTCTAAACTTTACAATGAAATCAAAGGGTTACTTATTATAATAATTGAACACTTAATTCTTATGAAAAGCAAGAAAATTGAAACAATTCACAGAAACATCTTTATAATTGAAAGAAATTCATTATTTATAAAGTTAATACAGACAAAGTTAAATAATGAAACAATTTTTAGAAATATTCAAGAGCTTGTTGAAGACACGATTGATTAATTTTATGTCTGTTCCATGAAACATGACAATACATTTAAGTTGACAAACTTAAATGTGGAAATAAAGTTTTAAAAGTATACATTTACTATTCAGAAAGCTAAATTATTTCAATTTACCCAATAAGGTATAAGAATACTTTAAAAACATTGACATGAAACTTACATTTATCGGACTATTTTATAGATATAGTGATCACGGTTGCTGTAAGATAGATGCTGTAGTTTATAAAAATAACAAAATAGGCGTAGTAATAAAAAAAATATTAGTTTCATTTAAATGAATACTCGCGAATGTCTTAGATCTCATTCTTTAAATAGATTTTCAGTTTTATCATTTTCTGACGATTTTAATTAGGAATAAACCTATAGGAACCGAAATATTATTACATAAAATAAAAACACAAGTAGTTACTACATTCGTAAACATAACAATAAACCATTTTAATGACAACAATAGCCTTTCAATGGCGCCAAATTTAACTGAGCATCTGCGTCATTATCAGTCTTAATATAACTGAGCTAGGTAACTGTGACAACAGAAATAATCTGTTCTGAATACCTATCATTGCACCACAGACACACGTCTGTCGTAATTACAACTGCATTGCTACTATATAGCTACACTACTAGAAAATTTTGTATTGGAATTGTCAGAATTTCCTGTAAAAACGTAGATATTTTTACGTATGATTCTTTAATTAAGACAGACAGACAGAAAGGAAAGTATGCAATAATATTAACAGAAGCTAGTGTTTCAAACACATAAGTCATTTTTTTATAGATCAGAAAGCAACTCTTTCATTTTGCAACTCTTTCTTTAGTTTTAAATTTCATCGCGAAAATACAGGTGTGAGTAACAAGTGTCCATGAAATCTGAAAACAACATAACTATGTATTATATTTCAAGACCGGCGAAAACCAGTTCAAGTCTATTTCATATGCGGGCTTATTAATAAAGCAATTCTATTATAACTACACTTTCAAAGAGCCTTCATCTATGTAGTTATTAATAATAGTGTAAAGGCTATATATATATATATATATATATATATATATATATATATATATATATATATATATATATCTTTCTCTACATTGATTCTCGTAATTGAATCTCTTACTTTATCCCTAATGATGAAAATTACTTATCTAATCTTGTCATAAGTTTGGTAAAACTTTAATGGGAAAATTTTCTCTTTTATCACACACAAATTAAAAATGAAAGATCCTAACAACTCAACATAAGAGTAAACAAATCACTTTTACTTTAGAAAACCTTAATAATATTTTCCTTCATTGGAAATTTATATCAGTGAACAATAAAACCTAAGAATCCATTGATTTTATCAATCAAAGGAAATATATGGCAATTTGCCAGAATCATAAAGGTGAGAAATAAATTTAAATTTATAATGCGTTCAAATAACTTTTAATATGACAACGTTTAAAAACTACAAAGGACATTCCTGAGTAATAAAATTAGATATTTAAGCTAAGGTTACACATGTAAATCAGTAGTGGCCAATATGTTAAACTGTCGGAGAGATCTAAGGCAGTAGACAGATTGGCCGGCAGCCAACATTCACCACACACCTCAAACGACAGCTATCTAACGCATCACTTATCATTACATAATCAGTACAAGTTATAAAACATGATAACGTTTCTTTCATCTTTTAGTTCCTGAAGATGAACAGTTTAAATGGACACTCCACTCGGATATTTTGGATATTGAGATACAACTGAATGTGTACGTTTATATTAAGAATTATATATAGCTTTAGCCTATTATTATTTTATTATTTTGCAACTACGACAATTTTAACATGACACATCTGACACATAATTAAATTAACATTACATAACTCTTTCAAGTTCATGTAGACTGAACGTCTATTACATAAACGAATGAGTTTTCTTATTATCTAAAGTAGTTTTTTTATTTACAAAGTGATTAAACTGCGGTAGCTCATGTCGTAGCTGCCATTAAGTCTAAATCTATATGATTATAGACAAAACAAACTAATTTATCGAATAAATTTTCTTACATTGTGTCCCGACTGTTTGAACGTCAATGAATGTATTTTAGTCTGTTATGACCGTCAAGTAATTTCTCACAAATGAAAGCTTTTAATCTATTTCAGTTGTTTCATTAAAAGTGGAAAATAGAAGCATTAAATGTCAGAAAAACATAAACGAGCAATTAAGCGCTCTAACAAGCAATGTCTTTGAATATTCGTGATTTTTTTACTGAGCTTATATTCAATATTGTTACAGTAATTTTTCTTGTAACAAGAAAACAACTTTAGATTTTGTGTTTTTTCAATGCAAGCTGTCATTTTTATGTAGCAGTCCTTACATTTAGTTTAGTTGGAGTTTCAACAGGGACAAAGATATATAATGGATTAAGTTATAATAAAATATAGATAACATTACGAATAAAAGGTTGCATTGAAACTCTTCTGAATTTAGTAAACGATGCGTACTCATACAAATACTGAGCTTTAAACTAATGGAAATGTTAAAGGGTAAATAGCATTTGAGAAAAAAGTATTCAAAAGCCTCTTTAACACTACAAAATTTATTCCTTATAAGAACATCAGAATGATTAAAATCGAAACTCAAAGAACTAATTGCCACTATACAGTATAAGTACCTAAGCGACTAAAATTAAAAACGAAAACAATTTGTGTTTTAAAGAATATAAAAAGATTTTATTACATTTTCTAAGAAAAACAATGTTAATGATAATGAAATGAGAGTAGCAACAAAGAAGTAAATATAATTACTTTCAAAATGACATTATTAAGCAATGTTAATAATGAATAACCTATGTTAATATATTCATTCTTTAATTTGTACCGACCACTTGCAAGCATAATCCGATGACCTAGAACGATTATATAAAATATATTATTTAATAGCATATTTATGCAAATAGTAATTTTTATGTTTGAATTTTAAAAATATATTAAATTTTATTTAGCAGTTTTTCATATTTTTATGCAAAACTTAAGAAAGTCATTTCATTCTACGACAAATAAATTAAAGAAAATATTAAACAAGACTTGAGGCTTTGGACTATGAACATTTTTATTAACAAAAAATAATATATTCTAGTTACAATACAGTATTATAAAATTCTACTGAACTTGACCAGTTAAGTGCAGATCCCAATGTTACACAATGAGCGGCTTAACTAATTGAAGGCAACATTGCAAGCATATTATGTCTTATACAATTATACCATAGCCTCTGACGTAGGAACTGCGTAGTCAAGAAAATGAAAGCCAATTATTGCATGCTCTTAGAATCATTTCTCCGAAAATGTTTCATAATAAACGTACATACATACATGTCTTTATGGTCATAATGGATAGATATCGTTTAAAATCCAGAACCAAGTCCTAACACATGTTCAGTCTAATTTATTGCCTTTATCAGTAGTACCTAAATAAATTCTCTTTAATGGTACATTAAATGTGTAAGTAGGGGTCAAGATATTAAAACTGCACATCGTACAGAGGTTCACTCTGAATAGACTTTTGGATCTATGTATTTCATACAATATACCTGTTTATACATTTATTAAACATATTTTAATGAATTTATATTGTTTCTAACAATTAACAGTACCATCAGCTACGCAAAGTTGATAAAACATATGTACCTAAGCAAAATGCATCAAAACAAAAGTTTTGCTTGTTCCTAAAATTCCTGAAACCATATCAATATGATAAGTATGGTGTTTTTGTGTTTAAAGATGAAAATATATTATTAAGATACCGAATACATTCATTGCTCTCCAGGTATTTAACATTAATATCAAAATGATGCGTGAACTACATGGAACAGAACGCGTGAAACAAGGGATTAAAGACCATTAACACGATTAGTGAACGCTCACAACGTAAACACAACCAACCCAGACGTAACATGCTCACTTTATTCGCATGCACTTAAATAAAAACGCTGAATATATTACTAAGCTAAAACTTTCATTATGTTTATTATGTTTCTCTACAACTAAAATCAATAATATCTCACATGAGTTGTCTGGTGTAGACGAGTTACTATTTTGCTGGTAATAAATACGATTATACGTACATGTTATGAGTTAATTTTAGAAAATATCGCTATTGTGAATCATAAATTGGGTATATACTTGTACGTCATGGCAATAAAGTTAGCAAACGTTGTAGCACATGACAAAGAAGATGAGGACAATATCACATTAGCAGGCAACTTCTATTTATGTTGTAATCAATGATGAAAATGTAGAAAAAAACGAATGAATTATAAATTTAAAGTTACATTTATTCAATATTATAATGGCATAGGTTAATAATAAACTACTGCTCAATTGGGCCATTAGCCTCTCGTCATTAAAAATATAATCCAAAAAAATCGAAAAATTTGTAGTCCCGTTATTTTTGTTACATTATTTCAAATATCTCCTCTGACCAAAAATATATAAATAAAATTAAATCCTGGTATTTAATTTCTGTAAACTTTTTTTCAGCCAGATCCTGTATATGGACCAATATGCATACCAGCTTCCAACAAACTACAGTAGAAACATTCCACCTGGTAAGTTTCCTACTGTCATTTTTGAAGAGGAACAACATCAATTTTAAAAACAATAAACCTTGTATAAGTCACTATTGAACGTTGGCCAAAAATATCAAGACGCTTAGAAAATAATCTAAAACTCCACGAATATGTAGGTACAAAAACAAAAGAAGAACACTATTATTTAATGTTCAACTTGTTATCATTAGGAACAATGTTCTATTATGAAATTAACAGTAAAAAATGAAACTAACACTAAAAGGTCAGATGTACCGCAATGCCCTATCCTTATTAACTAAAAATCATTATGTATAAAAGGTGTATTTTTAGAATATTTCATATTTAGTCACGGGTTGATGATTCAGGGAAAAAAGACAGCTATCCACTTAAGACCGGACATTACTCAGCAAAACTATAATAAGTTGACGAGACAGCGTTAAACCAATAATTTTCAGAAGCAGTCATTTTCCCTTGTAACATCTCACATGTAACTATCGCGAAACGTGATTATGCTGTGCGTCACGAAGGAATCACTAACTCAATATATTTGAATCGTAGATTTATTTTATTAAATTAAATACAAATGCAACTAGCAAGGAGTAAAAGTTGATCTCCGTAACAAAAAAAATATTAAAGTAATTTTGTATCAGTAGAATAGACAATACTATAAAATACAACAGTAACTAGAAAGAAAAATATTCAATAAGTATAAAATATAAATAATAGGTTATTTACTAATAACATATATTTAAAAAATCTTATTGTTAAAAGACCATTGTTAAAAGTCAATAACTCGCATTTTTCAATACTAAAATAAAGCTAAATATAGCTTACATAATTGATATCGTATTTGTTCATTAAGTAGGCACACCAATTTAATTTTATTACACAAGCCTCGGTAGTAAAGACGATCGGTGATATCTCCGAGGGGCGCCGTAGCCACTGATAATTCCTACCTATGCAACAGTTATAGCTATTCAATGAAACTGAAATATCAAGGTCTGTTTGTATTATCTATTTTCAGGTAAAAATACGACAGTTTATATTGGAGTGAACGTCAATAGAGTTTCTGGAGTGGATGAAAATCGAGAGGTAAACCACAAATTTTTTTGTTTACCTAAAAAAGTATGACTCTTTCAAATTAAACCCAAAAAAGAACAGAGAAATTTAGAATAAGTTTCCAATTTTTAAGCGAGGAACTTATTCATACAATATTGATGTATTAAACAAGTATTTTATATCTGGTCAATCTATTGTCCAAGGAGATCACACTTGACGTTTTCCTGCAAGTATCATGGGAGGAAGCCAGATTAAAAGTTCCACCCGGTATGCCTTTCATCGATCTGCCCTGGGAATTCCGACAGCTAATATGGACTCCGGATCTTTATATATGGCAGCTACAAACTATGAGAATTCTCTCAGTGCTCCAAGAAATGGCGTCATTGAGACTATATGCTAATCGCACTGTCTCAGTCAGTATTGGGTTCGTTTAATTTTATTAATATTTAAAAAATCTATGTCGCATTATATTAAAAAAAAATTAATCCATGCTAAAGAAAGTATTATGAACCGCATAATTCAAATTTACTTTTTTTTTCTAACGATAACTTATAAGACATGTTTCAATAAAATCACAATAATTTAAACAACAGAATTTAAACATTTTTTAATGGAAACATTTTATTTCAGTGCTACAATAACAATAAAATGTGAAATGAACTTTGTTTTGTATCCATTGGATGTGCAAAACTGCGCGATAGACTTTAGCAGCTGTAAGTATATTTATCTCGCCTGTCTCAATTATAAATAGGTTACATTGAGTTCTTGGTCACCAAAAAATTCGCTGAGCTCTCATTTAATAGCACACTGATACGAAGAAAAATAGTAAACTAGCTTTAGCTTGTTAACTATTTTGGTAGATATAGAGATATAGTTATAGCGCACATAGTGTGTATTATGATAAGAATGACGATTTGAGGACATGGGAACCATTATGAAGTAATTAGTATAATGATATACCCGCTGATAAGAACATGGGATTTTAAAGTCATAAGAACCATCATAAACTTGTTGGGAATTCGAGCTCAGGGCTATTGTTCTGACGATTACCTAGAAGTAGTAACACAGTAGAAACCAACAGTCTCTCAATTGAATGCTCTACTTTACTGACTATTTGGTTTGTTTAAAATAAATATTAAGTGAAAATACAAAAAAAAGCATTCTTTTTATTCAATTATTTTAAGAATTTTTTGACAAAATTATATTGTTGAAATACCTATTTTTATTATTAGGTATATATTTTTTATATTATTAAGATAATACTTATATAACATTTATCATAGTACGCACCTACTTTTACTTTCATTATTCTAAGTAATTAATCACTTCCATTAAACCTGAAAATAAATTGTTATTGACGTCGATATCTTAGTTTTTGCTCAGTCATTACCTTTTTTTAGGAAATCAATACAACTAAGTGCCTTCGCAATGATTTAAAACATTTAATTTGTATAGATTTTCTTTTAAATTAGGCTGAATAGACAGAAATATAAATATTACTGTTTTGAAGTGATCTTATTAGAAAGCATTTATATTATTTTTTTTATTTGTAAATCAAAACAGATATATACAAATAAGCCATTAAAATAATTAACCATTTATGCAGATGTAATTTTATTCCTCTGAAATTAATACCAATATACAAGATAGGCTACAATTATAATAAAACTATGTATATTCTTCGACTAAATTAGAATCATAACGTAAAAACCTGTTTGAACTAAAATTTTAACGTAAATGTTGCAGTAGAAAACGTATATGTTTTCAGATAAGTACACAAAAGAAGACGTGCGGTTCGAATGGCGTGAAGTGGCGCCGTGGTTCGGGCTGGCCGGCGAACAACGCCGAGAGTTTCGTCTGCCAAAATACGTGGTCACATTTGTTACCGACAAAAGTAATCATATTCGCAATTTTGGTGAAGGTAAATGTATATTTATTGCTTTGCGCTAAGTTTGAACCAATTAACTTGTATGAACTAACGCTTTTCCGCTTGCATGACGCTGATTTTGCCTGCCACGGATGATTTGACCTTGAAATTGTTGATTCTGGTCCTTTTTATTAGTAAAGATTCCAGAATCTAGTATTTTCAACTTTCATTGCTGATAATAATTATTATTTCTTGATTTTACAAAAAAATTAAGGTATTTAATTGGTTTTATTTAAAAAACGTCTGCGACTTAAAATATTTCAATATTTTGTTTCGTATATGTGTTTATATTCGTACATTAAGTACATACTTCAAAATCATCCGTGTCCTGTGCAATATTGTGAATGTTATGTGTCGTAATGTGCTTTATAGAAAACAAAATTATCACATTTACAAAAATATAAAGCACGATTCATACTTATAAATTCAATTAAATCAATAGCTTGATTTAATTAAAATATAAAAATACATTTACCTTTTTAATATGCTTTTTTAACAAAGTATCGCTTTTAGATATATAAGCAGAACGAAGATTTAACCTCTTACAGAATTTAATCACAGTTGGGCATCTTTTACCTACTAATTTTAAAACAAGCCACCAATCATAGCACATTGCATGTGCAAGATTTAATAAAATGTCTTTAATTTATTAGTAAAAGATAACTCTTCACCAAATGAATCTATTGACATAAACATTATTTATTTCATGGATATTAATCACAACAAATCGGCTCTACAATCATACAGGTGAACATTCAGCGGCGCGATTGCAAATAAAACTTTCGCGTGAACTGCGAGGGTATCTTCTAGAGAGCTACCTACCATCATCCTTATTTGTGATCATCTCCTGGGGAAGCTTCTGCGTGATCCCGGAGATTGTTCCAGGTCGTATGGTGCTGCTTGTGACGACATTACTGTCACTTATAACTATGTTTGACACTGTCAGGTGATTATTCAGTTGTTAAAAGCACTAAGTATTAGAAATATAATCTATAAGAGTTTACAAACTTCTTGCCAGTATATAATTATAAATAAAACATCTTTTCTACACTGTTCTAAGTCATTGTATTACTTTAAGCAAACTATAGATATAATAAATGAATACTTCTTCAACGAAAGATAATCTTTTCCAGTACTAACTCACCAGACGCGTTAGAGCTAAAGTGTATCGAGGTTTGGCTGATCTCGTGCACTATATTCGTATTCCTGGCACTGCTGGAGTACTTCGTGGTGTTGTTTGGCATCCGATATGATAAGAGTTGGAGCCGACGACGGCAGGACCTACGAAGGGCTGCCTCTGCCGCGCAGCTAGCGCCTCCTCTGCATATTAATCATTCTCAAGTAATGAATCCATATATTATACGAATGAATCTAAAGGATCGTGTCAAATATGAAAGATTTTAAATTAAAATACGGACACTTTTAGAATGAGTTCATATTTTTTTACTTTTATGACGACAATCAAAATTTTAACACCTTGTGTGAAGCTTATATTCGAAACATTGACATTCGACTTTATATAGGTATTGCGTAACTATATGCACGACACATTATACATATGTACCTCATATGTAGCTTCCAAAGGAAATTTCAAAGTAATATCAGTTATCTTCCTTATCTACATATTGTATGTCGTAGTTAATTGAATTATTATATATTTACGGATCTTTATTATTGTATAATTTACAGAATTTGCAGAGACTAGGCACACCTGTCACTGGCACGCCTCAAGGTGGAGTATTTTCACCTCAACTTAGTGTAGAAGATGAAGGATTAAAGCAACAGTTCTCTCACCAGACTATACAACGGGTAACCATTCCTTAATAATTTAAATATATAGCACAAAAACAGAAGATAAGTTTAATATTACGACAGTAAAAATAAGAAATAATCAGACCATTAGATTTCAACTGTCAGCACAAACATCACCTATGAGTGCTTAAAAACATTAGTATTTTCACCACAACCAAATGTCGCTGTAAGAAATAGGTAAGAAACAATTGATCTTTATAATAGGCAACCATTTCTAGTTAACATCTTCGGAGAGAAGGCTTCGAAGATCCAATAAAGTTGGATGTGAGACGAGAACAGTTAGTAAGGTAAAAACAATTAGTGAACAGCACTGTGTGTTTCACGCTAAATGTGTAACGTATTACAAATGCTATGCGACACTGGTAAAAACATTAGAAAAAAAAACCTTTATAAGTAAGTAGAGTTGACGGAAGATAAAATATATTTAGAGAAAAATGAATTTAAAAACAACTTATCAATTTAGATAATACGCCAGGCGCCACCGATGCTTTTAACGCATTACACATAGACAACAATAAAATGTATAACGGTAGAATAAAAATGGAAAAGTGTAGAAAGGCTAAAATTATTTCATTCAATGATATATTTGGTATCAATCAATAATATTTTCGTTTGTAGGACTCGCCGATACTAGAGACAATGACGGCTGGTGATTCTTCGGGAAGCTTTTTGGTGAGAATCGCTACAATAGTCGATCGCGGCGTTATGTTCTGTGGCGCCCAGCACGGGGCTCTTGACAAATTCGCCCTAATGATTTTTCCTATATGCTTTATACTATTTACAATTATATATTGGACGACATATATCAGTGAAGCATATCGGGCTATGCACGAGTGATCTCTGTGAACTTCTGCCGTGCCTTTAATCATAGTTGTAGATAATAGATATTCAGCTAGTTGTTTTAAATTTATAACAACTTAAATGATATTAAAGATTTAGGATTTAAAATATGAGTTTTATGAAATAGTCACTGTTATATATTTTAAAGTTTAATAGAGTGTTATGATTTGCTAGTTTTAATGTTGAAGTTAATTATTATTTAATTTATTGTGTAAATATTTGAACAACAATATTTTTAATGTATAAATTATTTTAAGCTGTGAATAAATTGTAAGCCCACTTCATCTACTTAGAATCGAATTCACCAATTGCTAATAAGTCCCAAACAGTTCATAATCTATTACTATAAACTCGGATTAAATATATTATTAATTTCACGGATTTCATATGCATATTAATGTATAATTGATCAATTCTGTGACTGCCTACAACTTAGTTCTTTTTCGTCAAAGAGTTATATTTAAAAAGAAAAGCATCTAAATCAGGCAAAGTTATTTTATCAGGCATTGAAACAACCGTTCAAAAACATGATCCACGCCTAAATATAAACATCTCTTTTAAATAATCTATTCAAAGCTATATAACAAAAATAAATATTGGAATTAAGACTTATATGTTTTAAAGTAAAAATGCGACACAAGTAACACAAGAGACACGAAATACAATAAACTCAAATAGAGTAATGTAGACACGTTATTAATTGCATACATTTAGCTATACATATTTCTCACATAGATTTTATATTACTGGTATGTCTTAAATCCGTCCTGACATTTTGAGAAGTCGAACGTCTATTTAATTATATTTATCATCATAAATAAGAAAGACGCGTGATTTAGTAAACATTGAAACAAAATATTGTACTTAAAGTTTTTATTGTGCAGACAACATTATTGCAGCTTGTCAGTGCCTACTTTTAATATTAAGTAGACTCGTAGATTTGCATGCAATCAGCTGTTTGTACTTTTTCTTTGCAAAATCCGGCCGTAGTTGAAAAACGTTGGGACCACTAGAGCTCAGTAGGAAACAGTAAGTTGCATGTCACGCCTTATTACTGTGCCTTTTGATACGTATCATAAGATAAATAAAAGGTTTTTGTGATTAGGTCAGGTTATAAAATGTTGAGATAATTTTGTTGGATTCTGAAGGTAAGCTCGTCTAAAATTAACACGCATTTAAAATGAAATGTTACATCTATAAAATACATATTTCAACAGACAATAAAAAAATCCGAATTAATCCGATTTTTTTCTTACGATAAGCATGACGTTAAGATCGCTCAATGACAACACCAAATATGTATATTCGTTATGTAAAACATAAAGGAGTTATTTCAAATTTAAAATATACCTAAGTTTAAATAAGTTTATGTAATCTCATTCAGTTAAAATCAAATAAAATAAACATTATAATAACATGACCTTTAAATTAAAATAAACTCTAATAATCAAGTATTCAAACTTCATCAACACAAGCAGAATCTGACCCTGTTCTTCCTAAACAAAACCACATGACACCTTTAGGCCTCGGCCTCGAATTTTGCGGGCAGCGGAGCGGGAGCGGGAGCGGCAGGATCTTACGCGTATAATCAAATGGACCGACCCTCGAATACAGCGGTGCCCGCTGCCCGCTATTTTGGAGAAATGTATGCGTTTTCGTGCCGCCGCCGCTGCCGCTCCGCTGCCCGCAAAATTCGAGGCCGAGGCCTTAGACTAAGATACTGTATCTACGAAGCGAACATGGGCTTTATATTAAAAGGGAAATAAGTGATGAATTCCTTTATCGATAAAGAAAAGAAAGATATATTAAAAGGCAACATGATGACTAGTTGCAAATTTAAAAAACAATATTGAATCTTTATGTTTGGTTGGTTGTTTAAAATATGCCTAGTCATCATCCGTGCAAAGACTTGCACAGTATATTCTACCAGTGTCGTTTCGAATCTTTATATCAATCAGGATTGCAAAATTAAGAACTGTCAGAACATTTGATTCGACATTTTAAACATGTTTGTAGCTTCACTGTCAAATAGATACCACCTTGTGCAACGCTTGAAAAAGTGTTCATAGCATTGTCTACTAGTTTATAAGATTAATTGCTAAGATTTTTAAAATTTCTATTTATTTATGTAATAAATAAAATAATTTATATAATGTAATGTTTATTGTGGTTTAAGAAAATATTTTATTTCACATTTTTGTACTATGTATTTAAAGAAAATATTTCAACAAAACTATTTCTCTTGTAACCGCTAACGCGGGAAGATTTTAGGATTTATTAATATCAAAATAGCAATTTTCGTAAACACTACGGTCTTTATCCATATATATGAATTATGTTTTTGTTCATAATAATGTGATAATCATCTGCATATCATCTGTAACAGAGAAAGGCGAAAAAATTTGAAAACCGGTAAAGGTTAAATGTAATTCTAGTCATTTATGTAAGTTGGAATAAAATAGAAATAAGTCTCTGTAATTATCTTTGCTTTACTTGCTGCCCCTGACACATGTTAAAGCACAAATAATTTTATGCACAAAAATCATTAAAAAATTGTCACATTAAATAATACCTTCCAACACTTGTATGATGTTTAGTCATCGAAAAATTACTATATATCACATGCTGATTAACATATTATATATTATTATTATACATATCTATCGTTGAATGAATGGTGCCTTCAAATTGCCTTTATTAAAATTATTATATAATCAACGGCTACAGACCTTAAAAGTGTTACAAAACGAAATATTGCTAACTGTTGTATGACAGTGTAATTATATTGTTAAACTTAGGACAATACATGTAAATAGTTGAAATAAAAGACATTATTTTAAATTATACATTAAATATTTTATTTATCCTACAATTGCATGTGCAATATTTACATATCTACATAGTATATTTTGTTTTTATTCATAGCCGTAATAAGACGCGTCTCTATACGCTCGGAACATGTCCTCGGAGTTGCGCCTCATCCGCCTACCGATGGGTTCCATGTCGGCATAGCACTTTGGGAATACCTTTTCTATAATGTCAACTGCCTCGGCCTTTCCTATTTGACGTACCGCCAGAACTGAGTATAGCGCTTTGGTTTTCACACAATCCTGTGACAAAGTTGAATTAGTAGTTCAATTATCACATTTAATTAGGTGCGAGAGTGATTTGAAGTTGAAGGTTGAGGCGAACAACAGTTTAAGGAAGAATTTTTGTTCGAGAAACATTATCTAAATCATGCAAAACAATATGGGTTAACTTTTTAATTTTATCGTAGTTACAATACAAAGTTTAAAATTTGTCATTAATTTTATGAGGTCCTTATTTCATTGTACTTTTAACGTGTGAATCCAACAAATATTTCCTTTTTGACTGTTTAGTGACAAAACTTTCGTAATAATTTTAAGTTGTTATTCTTAAAACTTACTATAACTTCATCCAAAAAAAAATGTTGACACGAAAATTTTGAAGAACTCCCATGCATTATTTGTTAACAGATTAGTAAAAATTAATACTAGGTATATTAATAGGGCAAATTTTGGTCTACGAATTTGTAAATTTGAATATCCCAAAGGACCTCTTTATTTACCTGATGTGCTTGTTTAATTTTCGTCCACGAAGCGTCTCCTTGAGACCAGGCACTCATGAACGAGCAGTGCGTCAGGTTAGCTGCTCTTATCTCGGTGCAGGCCAAATGTTCCATGTTCTTAAAGTTAAGTTCATTGCGACAGTAATCAAACATATGAATCATTTCATGAGCAAGCACTCCTTGGACCATTGACTTCTTGGTGCAGACGTTCTGGCAGACAACTATCTGTAATATTATTGATTGTCACACTATATTTGCGCCAATTTACGAATAAATATGTAGTATATACAGGGTGACTGGTGAATTACTATCGATATTTGAGGACGTGATATTTGACGATCATATATGACAAAATAAAAATTAATATAACATAAATATTAATAAACTTCTAAGTAAAGTTAACCAAAAGTTATGTAATTAATTACGCATCGTGTAAACACCCTACAGATTAGGTATACACACACACACACACACACACACACACGCGCGTGCGGCGGCGTGCTGATACAACACCACGCGTCCACACTTGGAACACTTGGAACGTGTCCACATTTTTATTTATTTATACGGAAATTTGGTAAAAAATTAAGTACCTATTTTTTTTATATAATTCGAATGAGAATCATGTACCGATAATTTCCTTAAATATTTATATATTTAAGGAAATATATAAATATTTAAGGAAATATATAAATATTTAAGGAAAAGGATAGTAATTCACAGTCACCCTGTATATGTATGTAGTATAACTTTTCAAAACGTGGGATTAACATTAGATATGGATATTGAATTAATAGACTAGTTGAATCAACCATTTACCTCCTGTCAACTTTAACTGTATTAGAATCAAGTAATTAAATTTTTTAATGAAATTTAACGGCTTATGTTGATAAAAGACTTTAATCAATATAGTAAGAGTTGATTTTAGAAATACATACATATTTTTTAAAAAGTATGGCAAACAATTATAAGCATCAATATTGTTTATAAAATAACAATTAAATATTACATCAGTAGACATAGGACTCGTTAAATGTTGTAACTTACCGTTATATTTTTAATAGATTCAGAAAATTGTATGCTCACACGTCTATATAAAGAAAGTCGATACTATAAATGAGATTACTTTAAGTATTGTTAGGATAGATTCATTATAAATGCTGTTTACCGGAATTGCAGTAAACTGTGACTTAATATAGAAGAAATTAGAAAACTAGTGATTAGTAATTTTTTAATGCCATCTAAGAAAGATATAGGCGAGTTATAGATAGGGTATGATTTCATAAAAAAAAATTATGTTAGCCAACTCATATGAAATTGAAACAAAAAAGAATGAATGGTTGGCCATGGTGAAATACTGAAATTGATCTCAAGGGGTTTTGAACTAGGAGAGGCTCCTTCTCAGAATAAAATTATTTACTCTTAAGGAACAGAGACATAGGGTCTTTTTAAATGAATAACTGTAACTTTTTTTTATGCTAAACCGAGCAGATGGTCTACCTGATGGAGATAGTCCCACTGTTGGCCATAGACATCTGCAACACAAATTTGCTGATGTGTTGCCACCCTTAAGTGGTCAAAAGGGGACAAAAAGGTGGGAAAGGAATGGATAAGAGAACAGAATGGACAACCCTTTCTCACTTATCAACTGAAATTTAGCCATTAAAGACTACTTCACGCCGATCTTCTGTAAGAGGGTGGTACTTCCCTGGTCGAGTCAACCCTTATTCAAGCTGCAATAACTCAACCACAGCTAGGATTTACCACCTACAAAACCTACCTACCTATGTGACATTACATTAAAAATAGTGACTATAATAAATAGTATTACACACCTGGTTCATTTCGGGATCATAGCCTCCACTCACTGAATAATCACATACTTCACATGAAATATGACGCCTTATATCAATAGGGCTGAAACATTGAATTTAATAATATATATTTCTAGACATGCAATACAATATTAAATAATTATAAGTTTTATAACTACCAACTAACCAACCAGAGCTCTTTAGGGCAGCCATCATAGTTTTCACAATTGGACCTAAAAATCAAAAACTTTAATACAACTTTATGAAATTTTTATAAAAATATTTTTTCTATATACATAGTTACACCAGTTTTCTTGGTTACAATTTAGTATGGTACTTATAGGAATTTCAAAACATCCAATTTCAAATATGATTTGGTTTAAAAACGGATGTATATTTTGTAAATTATAGAGAACTAGACATAAGTAATATGATGTAATATTGTAAAATATCAACTTACTGTTCTTTACGCATTCATATACATTCTTTTCACATTTTATTTTTTCTATTCCTTCTTTGCCTTCCCTACCTAATAAAATATTTGAAACGGTAGGCTTGAAAGTACTTCGCCTTTCAGGATACAAATCGAATCCCCAAGCCTCCTTTTTTTCTTCAGTATTACTTTCTTTCGTACTGGTAGTCCCATTTTCTTGGGATTCTGGTGACTTGGTATTGTTATCACTGTTAGTCATGTGGAGTTTTTCAAACAATAAATATATTTATGGATCTTATAATTTTAATTAATAATTTTATAAATTATCAAAGATATATATCGCTTAGATTTCTAACCTATACCTCACTCCTCAGGAATTACGATAGAAGATATTTATTATTTTGACAGTTCACATTGACAATTGACTTAAATGTACGATAAGTTCGGAAAACTCTCTTTACAATGAATGCTAAATCTATATGTCATCAAATAAAATAAAATATATAATAATAATCATCAACGATAAGCTTAAAAATTATAAGTACTAACTAACAAGAGCATCTTTTCAAAAGCCCATTTATCTACATTACAAATATGATAACTTAGAAGTCACTTGTGGGATGTGTCAATTGTCATAACACAAAAGTTTGAATTTTATACTTCATTAGGATTTCTATTTTATGTTTATTTATTTTTTATAATTCATATTTAGGAATAAATAATTAAATTAACATGAACTTGTAAATCAAGTCTGTGACAATAGGCTTATAAAATTTAAGTTTTTAATACATAAGTAACTATTTCGAAACGAAAAAAACACAATTTAAAGATGGATTTATTGAATAGTAATAGTACTATTACAGATAGTCCTAATGTTATAGTTCGCAACCTAAAGTTATCATTCTTCAAGGGTTCACAGTTTAATTTGAAAGTAATTCTCATGTTTAAACTATATCAAAAACATTTCACTTATTAATAACCTGTAATAAATGTGTCTCTGTTGCAGGACAGTGATGTAAAACAAATGACTTGGGACCAACAAAATGAATTTCTTAATCAAACAATTTATACTTCACATTTCAAGAAATATCCATGTAACCAAGATTTTTGTAGGATATTTTTTAAGAACCTAATAACCCAACTTGAAAAATATCATGAAGTACATGATGGCATGTATGAATTCTTATGTTCCTCAATGAAAGAGAAAAAACATAACACATTTTCATACCAGCACTATTACATAAAAAATGATGAAAATATTATAACTATTAAACAAACTAGAAATATGGTTTTAAATGGTACAACTGGGTTAAAAACATGGGAGGTAATATTTCACAGGCAGAAATCCAATGATTATTTGTTATATTCTAAAAAAAAACACATTTTTAGGCTGCCTTTATGCTGGCTGACTGGGCTCTATTTAATAATCAGATGTTTTTAAAAAAAAATGTCCTTGAATTGGGTGCCGGTGTTGGTTTCACCGGTATAACAATAGCTAAGTATTGTGGCATAAAATCAATGATTATGTCTGATCACCATCTGGAAGTTCTTCAAGTGATTTGTGATAACATAGAAGTTAACTTTCAATCACCAAATAAATGTACAAAATCTTATTCTACTATGTATGAAATAAATGATAAGACTATGGGTATAAATATTATTTTGTAAATATAACTGTTTTATGAAAATTCATACAGTATATACTAAAATTTCCTATATTCTAGGTGCAATAATGCTTGATTGGAAAGATCCGGAAGAAGAAAACGATTTAATACCAGATCTCATAATTGGAGCGGATATTATATTTGATCCTTCAATATTAAAACCACTTATTAACGTACTTAATTCATTTTATCAAAAAAATAATCAAGTTGAAATATATATTTTCAGTGCTATTAGAAATATAGACACTTTTAATAGTTTTCTTGAAGAATTAAGTAAGTTTACCAAAAATTAAACATTAGTGCAGTACCATCTTATTTTTTATATTATATATTTTAAATTTTAACTCTATATATTGATTTCAGAATTATCTAATTTCCAATTTAAAAAGGAGGAAGTGATAAAAAGAGGGTTTGTTGACTGGGATGAGAATACTAATAGGTGTTTATTAAAAATTTATAGAAATTGATGTTTGTATTTTATTTCTTTAACTTTAAATTCATATAATAACCCCATTTTTGTTGATGATATTTTCACTAATTTTAGTGATGTTATATTACTACAAATATTCAAGAATAATGCCAATAAATAGGCAAAAATTTAACAGACATTGCGTTTATTTCTTGAGTCGCCTTGGTTAAATAGCTTATCAATAAATGCCTCATGAAAGATAGTTAATAAAATAGTTTTAATATATTATCCCTACGAGATATACAAATGCTAACGAGTGGTGGAAACCACTTGGAAAACGTTGCGAACCTAGTTTATCTGTTTATTGCGAAGCGACAGGCAGCCGTACCGAGGACTTCATTTAATAATATGTATTGATGATTGATATATGTGGTAGTAAATGTAGGTTTGTTAGTACATATTTAAAAAATTTAGAGCTTTTGAAACTAACTTTCAAAATGTCTATTTTTAATCAGGGAATTACAAATTATTTCAGATCCAGATTTTTTCTTCAGTACCTGAACAATATCAAATTTAGGAATTATAGTATTATAGACTCATCAAAATTCATAAAGTTCCGTTATTATCAGGTACAAATGGATAGTATTATTCTAATAACTCTCATTAATCGTGAACTTGGTAATTAAGATAAAAGAAATTGCGGCTCGTAATAGGTATCTTAAATAATGAAATTCCAATCAGTCATTGAATTATATGTCTTTATTTATCTATATTATATTAAAAATTAATTTTATATTTATTTTTATATAAAGATATGATTATGATTGATAGAATTCAACTATTGACATTATTAATTTAGTGATATTGGCAAAATATATTGTCAAGATTAATATTGTATTTAATATAAGCCACCATAAATAATTGAAAGTAATATTATGAGTTAGGTTCTTAATTTGTGGCATTCCATTCTGTAGAAATCTTCACGCTTTCTTTTCCAAAATCAGGTATAATAATTGTGTATTATACAATAATAATAAATAATAACTATAAAACACTATATGTTGCCATAGTATAATTGACACATGGCAATGATAGTTAAGTGTCATCTGTCAATTCTTTTTGATTTATAGTGCTCTTTATTGTTTTGAATTCTTTCACTGGCCTTTAGATTTCAGTAATTGTTTTGCTGTTATTATTACAATTTATGATAGAATTATTACGTCTATAATTAAAATAGCTTACACTGAGCTGAACTGTTCTAATGCTTTCATTAAAACTGTATTAGTCACAAACTTAAAGAATTATAATTTTCTATTTAACATTTATACTTTTGCTTTATGATGACTTGTATATGATACTTAGAGTAATACAACTTATATCAATTTACAAAAGGAAATCTCAATATGGAAAAAGTAACTAGAAAACGAAAAGTAGAAGATTCTAAAGATGAAACAAAACCACTACAGAATATTAAAAAAACTAAAGTTTCTTCTACAGCTAAAAAAGCTGCAGTAAAAAAAGTTAAGAGAATTAGTCCAAAAGAATTTAAAAATGATGGATCTGAATGTATTGAAACATCTGAATGTAATGAAAATATTATGCAAAGTGACCAATATGATAATATGTTTGACCAAGCTAAAATGTTATCATGTACTGAAAAAGTATCTATAAGTGTAGCTCAAAACTTTATAAATCTATTATCAGAAGGATGTACATTACCATTTATTGCAAGATATCGAAAAGATGCCGTTGATCACCTTATGCCTGATAGGTAATTTCCAAATAAGCTTAATTTATTTATGGTGGTAGAGCCTAGCTGTGGTTAGTTACTACAGCTCGAACACGGGCTGGCTCGACCGGGGAAGTACCACCCTCTCACAGAAGATCGGCGTAAAGTAGCCTTTAATGGCTGCGTTTCGTCCGATGAGTGAGAGAGCCGGTTGCCCTTTCCCTATTCCCACCCTTTCCTACAATATCCTTATTCCCACCCCTCCCTATCCCTATAAAACAAGGTTGGCAACGCATCCGTGACATCTTTGTTGCGGATGTCAATGGGCGACGGTAACCACCTTCCATCAAGTGGGCCGTCTGCTCGTTTGCCACCTTTGACATAAAAAAAAAAAAAAATTTAATAAAGATTTTTTATTTTATAATTTCTAATATATTTCAATTTCCATCTTCTATTTACAGACTTCAAGAGCTTTATGAAAGCTATCAACATGTAATACAACTTAAAAAAAAAGTTAAATCTGTGTTAGAAACTCTAAAGAAATCAAATAAATTGACCCCAGAAATTGAACAAAGCCTTTTAAGTGCAAGGAATTTGTCAGAAGTTGATTTGGTGGTAAGAATATTTTATACTAAATAACTTGGTACATCGTCATCAGCCTATCAGCGCCCACTGCTGAGCAAGGCCTCTTTCTCACATGGAGAAGGTTTGATCATTAATTACCACGCTTGCTCAAGACGGGTTGGTGATTTCAAACTTATAATTGTGAAACTATAAGTCCAGGTTTCCTCACGATGGTTTTCCTTCACCATATGTCAGTGTTGTCTAAATACTCTCAGAAAGTACATCTGACTCCGAAAAATCACATTGGTACTTGCCAGGTTTGAACCCGCGATCTTGGCAACGAGAGACGGACCCTTTAACCACTAGGCCACCACTGACTACATACATACAGTTTCTGATATATTTTTAGTGACAAACTTTTACACTGTACATCTGATAGTAATTTAAAAGTAATTTGTTATTTTTGTCTTTTAGTATGGTCCTTTAAAATCACATTCTCAATCACTAGCTGAAAAAGCCAGAAGTTTGGGTCTCGAACCTCATGCAGTGAAAGCACTAAATGGTGATTATATTGACATCAAATCTCTTTGCGATGGACGTGAAGAGTTGGCTAATTTTGAAAAAGTTGAAGCCCATGTGACACATATTGTAGCTGATATTATGTATAAAGATACAAGAGTGATTGAACAAATGAGGAAATTGTGAGTCTAATCTCTAACTTTTATTATTACTCTTACATTAAAAACTATCAAAAAATTCTATATATTGCTATATTCTGGATAAGTTTATTAATCTATGATCATTTAACTCATAGGAAAGAAGAAGCTAGGTTTACCCTACAAAGTAGTAGAGCGAAATCTACAAAGACAAAACAGGAGACTGTTAAGAAGTATGAAACAAAATCTGATCCCGAGACATATAAATTGTATTTTGATTGGAAGTGTCCAATTCAATTTGTAAAATGCTATCAGACATTGGCTGTGAATAGAGGTGAAGAAGAAAAGATACTTTCAGTGAAAGTGATTATTCCTGATTGGTTCTACAATAAACTTGAACGGTATATAATTATTTCTTAATATTTGACCATATATTTAACTTAAATAGAATCTTCAAAAGCTTAATAACACAATGATTAATATTTTGAATAGGTTCTGTCTCACGTTATGGAAAAGCAATTACTGGGTTCGTAAAGGCCTCGGTGATGCTTACAATCGCCTGATAAAACCCTGGCTCTCAAGGAAAGTCAGATCAGATTTGACAAGTTTGGCCGAAAAGGAAGCTGTTAAGACATTTAGCACAAATTTAGAAAAATATTTGTTGACTGAACCCATAAAGAATAAAACGATAGCTGGATTGGATCCTGGTTTTAAAGCAGGATGCAAGGTAAAGTATTTTGCTTAGAAATGGAAGTAATAAGAGGACCTTCGCATTTTTTTGGCTTTCTTGGGCCCTAAAATTGGAATTGGTTGTTAGATTTTTTTTTAAACACCCTAAAAAATAGAGCTATTAAACAAAAACCTCGACTAAATCGGACATTCATTGAATGCCCTGAGTCACCATCATTGTATTCTGCTTGTTATACTTGATTAATGAATCAATATGAATTAAGACACACACACAGATATAAAAATATAGGTATGTGTGTGGGGGTGCTAAAAATATTATGCTTATTAGTTTGTTATGCCCTATAACTGTATTTTTTCAGGTTGGTATAATCGATTCTACTGGAACTATGTTAGAAGCATGCACCATATACCCAAATTTTAATTGCAACACTAATGATCCAGCAGCCCGACAACTAAGTGAACTCTTATTGAAACATAGGTATTAATTATTATATATAGCAAACTATACTACATAACTGGGCAGACCCTGGCTGCAGCTGGGAAATTGCAAGGAAAAGAAGAAGATATAGCAAATTGCATAATATTTGGCATACAATAAGCATTTTAAAGTAAAATGGTTAAAAACTGTAATCAAAATTCATATTATGTACAATAAATTTGCCATAAAATAAGACTTGACATATATTATCATAATTGGCTTGTTATTTATAATATAATAATTATGTTAATGTACAATTAACAATCAATTAATTTCAGTGTAGATCTCATTGGTCTTGGTAATGGAACAGCCTGTAGAGAAACTGAATCCTGGTTAAAGAAACACAAAATATCAGAAAACATTCCAGTCATCATAGTTCCAGAGCAAGGAGCTTCTATATATTCAATTAGTAAGGAAGCTCAAAAAGTATGAAATTAAATATAATATTGTAAAATATGTGCAAGAATAATATTGATTTAATTATTATTTTTATTTACTTTTTCCAGGAACATCCAAATATGGACCCAAATTTAATATCGGCTCTGTCATTAGCTAGAAGAGTGTTGGATCCGTTAGGGGAATTGATAAAGGTATTATGATATCAAATTCCTATAATACTATAATAATTCCTATTTTAATATTAAATTCCTATAATATCTTATTGCAAACAATATAAGATCTAAACATTGGTGATATATTTTCAGGTGGAACCGAAGAATTTAGGTGTTGGTCTATACCAACATGATATTCCACCTAAAATGTTGGAATCGGCCTTAGATATGACAGTTGAGAAGGTTGTGAGTTTGGTTGGAGTTGATATTAATACTGCATCACAAGCAATGTTAAGGTATTATAACTTGTGTATATCTAGTAAAATTAACAATACGTAGTTTATACGCGTATATTGTGGTTTTGGTGTCGGGTGCAGATATATAGGTATTGTGCAAACAAAAATTATTTCTAAATTACAGTGTCATCCAAAGTCCCTTTCGTGACATAAAAAAGAATAGAACGGTTTTGTTTTTCTCCCACAATATTTTGGGATAAATTTTATATTATATCTCATTCTAATGTCTAATTTACATTGGAAGACTTTATCCAAATCCGCTCAGTAATTTAAATTGAAAAACTATTTAATATTTCGTGTTACTTATAAAGTTTCCAATTTATATTTGAAACATTAGTTTATCGTCTAAATATACTCGTAAACGTTATTTCTTTGTTTTATAATATGAAAACTATTTATATTTTTCAGGCGTATTGCTGGTTTAAATGAGGGTCGTGCGAAGAAGATAATAGCGTATCGGCAAGAAAATGAAAGGTTTAAAACCCGGGCTGAGTTATTGAAAGTTCCTGGTATAGGAAAAGTTACGTATCAACAATGTGCTGGGTTTTTGAAAGTTTTGGGAGGTCAAGAGCCGTTGGACACGACTATTATACATCCCGAGAGTTACACGATTGCTAAAACGTATGTTTTTTTTAATAATCTAAATAATTAACTTTAGTAATTAATAAATTTTATTAATAATTTTTTTAAATTTTTATAAATAAATATTAATTAATAAATTTTTCAGAAAAAAATATTGTGCTATTATTAAATAGTCGCTCATATGTGACGTTTTTATTTTTAACACGGCGCCATCTATTGAATACTTAACTCAGTCTACAGATAATTGTAATATGTAATGACAAATAATTTTCTTGAATAGACAAATAATTTGCAATAAAATAATATTGTGACTATAAATTGAGATGTAAGCTATCCTATCTTTCAAGTTGTATCAAAATGCACACGGAATGCAAATCAAATTTAAAATCGGTTTAGCAGCTAGGAGTCCATCGCGGACAAACACGTGACACGAAATTTTTATATGTATAAAGATAATTACTTAAGAAAAACCAATATGTCAATGGTACCATTAATTTTCAGATTTGCAAAAAAAATCGGCGTAAACATCAAAGACTTATCCAACGCCCGATTTCCTGAAGAAGTGGAAAGGAAATCAAGAAGTATAGATATATCGGCTATGAGTAAAGAACTTAACACCGATATAAGTAACTTAGAATTAATTATAAATGCGTTCAAACTGAAGGCGTATGAGGACAATGTGATTACGTTCTGTAGACCGGTGTATTCTATGGTGGTTCAAGCAAGCGATCAATTAAAGAAAGGAATGTCTTTGACAGGTTACTATTAATATTTTATACAATATACTACGAGATGAACCAAAGCATGTTTTTTAAAGTAAGAAAAAAGGGCTTGGTTCATGATTGAAGGGACCGTAGCGTTTTAGTACCACTTTTTTTGGACATAGGCACCGTTTTCAGAGCCCTAAATGAAATTGGTAGTCCCATCAAATTTTCTTTTGATAAATACCATCTGAGATAAGAATAGACATATATTTGGAAACTATATATAAACTCGAAAACATAACTTTTTTAGAATATATAGGTATTTTAGCAATAAGACGACAGGCCCAAGTCTTATAGTATTAGGTTGGTGCGTATGAAATGTCGGATTCTCTTTACATGCGGACGTTTGTCTCCCTGTTTTCGTTATACTTTCGTCTTTGGCATAACCTCACTCACAGTCGTATTGTCCATTGCCAGAGACTAATTTCAGCAAAAAAGGTTTTCTCGAAGGTCTTCCCTTTTGTTATTTATTTGAGTTTATTGCCGATATGAATTCTGCCGACATTCGCCTCATTTTCTTATATAAGTACAAACTTGGTAATAGTGCTGCAAAAGCTGCACGCAACATAAACCAAGCCTTTGGGGAGAATACGATTAACGATCGGAAAGTGCAGAGTTGGTTAAAAAAAATTCCGACTGGCGATTTTTCACTGCAAAATGAGCCACGCGGAAGACCCTAAACGTCTGTGAAAAATGATGACCTGAAGGCTCTAGTGGAAGCGGATCCAGCCGTATCCACGAGGGAACTTGCTATCAGGATGAAAGTTGACCATACAACGATATTGAGACACCTTTCTGAGATTGGCAAGGTTAAGAAGATGGACAAGTGGGTACAACGCTCGGCCGCATACATCGCACAAAACAATTGCGAAACTGAACGAACTGGAATATGAAGTTTTGCAGCATCCACCATATTCACCGGATCTCTCGTCGACCGATTTACATTTTTTCAAGCATTTAGAGCTGTTTTTAAGGGGCAAACACTATGAAAATGAAGACAGTCTAAAAAACTCGATATCAGAGTTTTTTAATTCTAAAGACCAAATTTTTTTTAAGACAGGCATCTACGCTTTAAAATCTCGTTGGGAGAAGTGTATTGAAGCGAATAGAGCATACTTTGATTGAATAAACAGCTTTTGAAGAAAGATATGCAGTTTTATACAATCACTTAAGAATCCGACATTTCATACGCACCAACCTAATATTAGTAGAGAGATTAAGTTGTTATACCTCTCACACCTACTTCTACCGCATACAAATCCATGACATACTTATTCCTAGTGAGTTCGTAATACTTAGCTATGTTATTTTCCAGGTGTTGTCCGTAACGTGGTGCCGTTTGGTTGTTTCGTGGACTGTGGTGTTGGTGACAACGGACTCATACACACAAGCAACATGGCGAACGCTAACCTCAAACTAGGAGACAGGGTCGCCGTTACGGTCATATCAACTCCGAAACCAAAGAAAATACAACTCAAACTAGATAGAATATTGGAATAATATTTGTACTAATTCATACCCTGTGATAGTTATAAGGTGTTAGAATAAAACATTGCTTTTGTTTGTATTTTTATTCAGCTTCTAGTATGTTAACGCGCTGCGTGGTGTTCAGATTGTAAATGTGGAAGACTGCCTTGTTGACGATCGCGTCGCATATACCAGATGAGACCCTAAGATTGTTAAAATAAAGTTCAGAATAAAAAAATTATAACAGCAACTCTACATACTACATCTGTTTGATTTTAAATAATTTACATGGTTAAAATAGATGACTTTTTTTGCTTAAGTGCTCGTTCACGTAGGTACACTCGGGCGCGGGAGTGTTAAATATTGCCGTCGCTAGTTTGACATGAATACAAACGTCTCAAGCGTTTGTAATTGCCGCGAGCACACCGCACGCGCCAGTCCCTAGTTAGCTCGCTACTTAGACCGCACTTGCATTTTGAACGTGAACACTTGGAAATCACGTCACATGTTTGATAATTCGTGACCGCGCCCGCGAGTAGACGTGAACAAGTACTAAAACTTTTTTTGGTTGATTTTTTCTTAGGACATAAGTACCTGTTCTCCTCTCTGTTCATTTTACAGGATATATGAGCTTATATATCTACTCGTGATTCACATTCAAAGTTATGGATAGCCCTATATAAGTTATATATTGATTGTTATAATTTAAAACATCCTGAAACTCACCGTCTACTCAACTTCGGTTTTGAATCGCTCTCAATAACTTTGACCAATTGATCGTGAGTCGGTATATTCTCCTTTGAATAATACTCAATGTGGGTTCTAAACATCTTGCTCTGTAAGGCGTCCCTGAAAATATTTAATTCCAATAATAATTGATACAGCATACACAACCGGTGTAGTTTAATTCGTTTTTCTTACCACAACATGCCGTCTATAATTTTCACGACATCCGCGGATGTGATGTTATTACCAACGCTAACTTGCTGATTGCAGCTGTAACTGTTTAGGTCTGATGAAAGCAAATCATATGGCGGGGTCTGTGAAGCGATTTGTACGACATTATTAAACAACAGTATAACTTTTATATTTTAATAAGAGTTATGTTCGAAGTACAGTTTCAGTCTTATTTCTTAATGTTCAGCGTTTCTTCCAGTAATGTCCTACAAAAGGGCTGAAGCCAATGGTTCAGTTTTATTATTAATTGTAATCATAAAAATAATTAAAGTATAAATAAAATTAAATAGTAGGTACTGCATGAATGGCGCCACTTGTATCAGTAGCTCCTAGCCACAGACAAGTAGCTTGATTCCATTGAATTTTATATTTAATGCTTATGTCCTTAATAAAATCTTTAGAATAACTGTCATTTTATTAAAATATATTATAACTAAAACCATTTATAATATATATAAATACCTGTTCCCACATTTTTCTTAGCGACATCCGGGGGAAACCATCGCGTTGTCCTTTTGATGAAACCGACACGGTCATAGCCAAATACCAAGGCTGTGGTTTCTTGAGATCCAAAACGTATGGAGGGCAATCGTTGATTCCCTGAAATACATTTTTTAATCTTACTGCAAATTTCGAACTGCTTTAAATCCTAAGATTTGCCAGTAAAACCTATGATTTACCAATTCTTAATGGTAAATGTCCGAAAACGTATTAGGTTAGGTAAATTGAAGTAAATAATTAAGAATTACTCCTCGTTTTATTCCTAAAACCAACATATTTACCAACTGACAGCAGTAAAATCTAGCGTATACTGAATTCGAATGGTGAAAACCTGAAAGGAGGGTCCTATTTTCAATATTTACCAACTCATATCGGAAATTCTTAAGATTAACATTAAAATTTTAAGATTTACCATAGTTCGAGCTTTCATGAGACTGATATGTAAACTTTTATTTCCCTTGGTATCAATTATAATCAATAAACCCAACTATATATTTGTTTCTATCTACGTACCTATTAGAAGAGTATGCGATACATTTATACTTATGTGTGTGCAATCGAATAAAATGTTTTTAAATCACTGATTAAACACATAAATAGCAAAGCACTTGTAGGAAATCCTTCACCATCAAATTATGCGTGCTAAGGAAAGCTCAAGCGATTCTTATTACTAATTATTCTCACTTATACTCATTCTCACACTCTACTATTTATTCTTACTTACTCCGCGGCTGACCGTAATGCGACACGCGATACGATAGGTAGATAATGAGGCATTATAATAAATGTCTCAGCTTAACGAATCAAAATAAATATATAATTAAATATTACTAACAGGATGAAAAGTGCCTTGTTCAGTGATTATAAATTCTTGAGCACACTTCTCCAGCTTATTTCTCCTCAACATTTGGTTCCTTTGATAGTTTCTTCGCTCAGTTAGATCCAAAATCTCACACGTGACAGTTGTTCTAATAATTACAAAGAAGTAAAAAAAAATATCATGTTTTTCTGTCTATTTTCTGCCATTTAGTTTGTTATATGTTAGACTTTTCTAATCATAGTTAATGGAAAGCATGTGATAAAAAAGTCATGTACAATTCAAAGTGAAGACGATAAATAGCACGACATTCGATTAAGCTACAAGATACAAAACTTTTCATTTCCCTTGTTACTTATTCATCGTTATAACAGAAAATATTAGTTATGGCAACATTAATACTTGCTGTTTGTGATCCCAAAAAAGTCTCAATTTGTAATCTATTTATGTTACATATTATATTTTTGTTAATGTTTACGTGAATGTTGCAGGTTCCTGTAAAGTGTAGACCGTCATTGTGATCCACTCTGTACTCTTTGGCTGAATGACACCCCACCATGGCGTCATCACTATGTTCACAATATTCGCCATTCTTTCCCTGTAAATAATGTATTACGTATATGCTACATATTAAGAAGTAATTGAACATCGACGGGGCAAAATCTTTGTATGTGTAAAATATCATATAAGGAGTGACGCTGCTGACTCCACGGAACGAACACCAAGTCGTGTGAACAAGAAGATTCCACATACCACACAAGCAATGGAATGTCATTGCTATCCCAATATCGGGGCAATCATGTAGTCTTATAGGTGCACGTTATAAGTTTTAATATGTAATTTTCATTTTAATATAAGTACATAATATAAGTGGGTATGTTACGTAGTTTTCCTGGAAACTCCGGCTGCCACTTGACGTAATTAATGTTATAAATTTTGTTGACTTTATTTTTTCTCCATTATAAGTATTTCTTTATATTAATGATTATACTTACGGTAGCCAAATAAAACGTATAACATTCTCCGTGTCATTAACAACAGCTAATATATCTCTCAACAACGAATGGGTTGTCATTATTGGCAGCGTGATGTGTTCTTTTGATAAATAAACCTTAAAAACGTTTTACACTGCATTTAACGCTGACACAATAATCAATTAATAATTTCATGGTACTCACAACGTTCTGTCTGTAAGCAGATCTTATAATTCTTTCAACATACACAGGTATATCGAGTCGAGTCTCAAGGCAATTGGGAAGACCCCCTTGGCCTTTGATCAGAATCTTTACGATGTCGTATCCAAAGGAGCAATAGAATACAACCTAAAAGGTAAAACAATGAGGTCTTATAGAAAACCAAGCTAAATACTAAAAGAAAGTGGAAAAGTATAAGCATTATTGTGAAAAAATATTGGGGGTCCGCTTTGAGTCATTTTCACTAAATATTGGCGCAATTTCGTATTCATAGTACCGTCCGAATATTTTCATTGACTGAAATATCCAGCTCCGAGTAACAAATCTTTATATTTAAAAATGAATCCGTTTTTCCCTTAGTCACGGCATCACGCGTGAATGTTGTATTTGTTATTATTAGGAGAAGGTTCTTATGTAAGAAAAAATACGAAAATTACTAGAAACAAAAAATAACTAGAATATTTCACTTTTTTATTAAAATAACTAGTAAACCTGGCGAACTCCGTTTCGCCACTAGAAGGCTTTTATATAACATTTCGTTTGGTGATTAAAAGATGAACAATTTTTTGTTTCATATTTGAAAAGGAACATTTTTATTTCATTTCACAACAGTAATGAATTCATTTTTTTTTACAAAAATGAAGTGTTATTTAGTTGAACTATTTTTGATTACAAAAATGAAGTGTTATTTAGTTGAACTTCTCTAAGTAAATGAAAGTGAATCCAAAGTAGATACCGAATCGAAGCGTTATACGTGTCCGCAAATTATCCGTTTCATTGAAGTGCTCGTTTGTAAACCACATTTTTTGTTTTTTGGTCTAACTTTAACACAAATAAAGCGTATGGTTTCCAAACTCGTGAACACGCAAAATATAACGCCCATGTGAAAAACAATGATTTTCTAAATTTATCCCGCAAATACTAAATGGTTTTAAGAGTTCAAACAACAAACACATTACCTAAATATTTTTATTTTTATATAGTAGATTTCTTACAAATATCTAATTTTATCCATACGTCATTACATATCTGTCATTATACGTCAATTGCATAGCTGTCAATTGTGTTATTCCACGTTTTATAGTGACTGACGTTTCATGTCAAGTCCCACGGGAATGCTGTCGAACGGGATAAAAAGTATCCTATTGCAATTTCCTGGTTCTAAACTACCTCCCTGCCAATTTTCAGCTGAATCGGTTCAGCCGTTCTTGGGTTATAAGTGCAGTCACTAACACGACTTTCTTTTATATATATATATATATATATATAAGATGTATCAGATACTTTTTTATTAAAATAATGTAATATACACGTAGTTAGAATAAAGAATTAGACTAATAAATACTTAGTTTTTATTTTGATAAATTAATATACCAATAAGAATTCAATAATCACAATCACAATCAAAATCACAATCACAAAAAAGACAGAACTCCATTCATATAAAAAGGTAACAGATATTTCTCGATTAAGTATAGGGCGGTACGAAGTTCGCCGGGTCAGCTAGTAGGTACTTAATAATCTTTTTGAATTGCAATCTGTCACTTTTATAAGATTGTTCTTTGAGTTTTCTTATTTCCACGAGAATATTTTTTAAAAATGTTTTATGATATTCAAATGGAGGGGGTGATAAAGAGAAAGATTGTATTGATCAATGAAAAAGACTGATAATACGCGTTAGTGGTCATATATTAATGTTATAAAAATAACGTATTATAACTTAAATTAAACATACGAGTATACATGTATGGAGTATAAGACATTTTTTCAATAAAACATACCTCATAGTCAACCATTTCTTTGGGCATAAAAGCGAATGGTATTGCCAGTTTGTCCATCGGTGGCACTTCAGCGAAGTATTGAAGGCAACGGATAACAGTTGTGGATGTCACGGTGTTACCTCTTAATAGACGCCATGTTGTAAACACTTCGGTTGGATTGTAAAACCACATGATCTAATAAAAAATACATATTATAATCATTTTATCATTAGCTACCTTATTACACGGACATTAGGGACGTTTTCAGTAGATTTCAGTTCTTCTTTCTATTAATCTAATTTAAAACATAAGTTACCTGACGCAAAAATTATTTTCATTTTTATATTTACTAATATGTATCATTGTATGATTTATCAATAATAACATATCGAATACTAAGTAACAATGTACCGAACTTTTTGTAGCCTTAATTTTTATATTCAAATGGAAAAAAATGTCCTACCCGTATAACTGGATCCAAATTATTAATAGGAACTCTGCCACAATCTAATACTGTCAAATAATCGCTGTCGTTGGCAGGCTTTCGTAGAGCAGTGAGAATGCCCTTTGAATTCACATGTGTATATATATGAAAGAATAAGTTCAGAGTCCTCCGATTGGGCATCGTCATAACAAAACAAAGCGTGTTATTTCCTTCATATGTATATTTGAATCGAATGTTCAAAAGTATTGGATTATCCGGCTGCAATGCAGTAATTCTTTTTTGGAAGGATACTTAAGAAAGGAAACATACAGTTTCCATTATTTAAATATATTGTACCGTAACAATTCCATTCAGTGGCGATATTTCAACTAGAGGTCTATGTATGCAAGTGTGACGCATTTCATACGTCGATATGCCTACTTGAACTTCAACCATCTCACAGTCACATATTTTCTCTCGCCTCAAATTGAATGGCACGCTCACTGAATACACACAACCCAAAACAAATACGATTTCCACATCCTGAGGTCTTGCACACAGCTCTGGTGCGTAAATATTAACGTTTATTGGTCTGTTTGGACGACAATCTTCTAAAGCTTTATTCAATCTGTAATATCATCTCTAGTCAGCAGAAACAGAAAAAGTTGAAGAGCAAGGGACCAATATACTTTGACCTTCAATATGATTGAGTAAATTAAATAATACCCACTCTTCCACGTTAACCATATTCCAAACACAATGGTTACTCAAAATCACTGGACATTTCACTGATATGGTACGTTTGACCTGCAGTTAACATTTATTTATTTATACTCCATTTATTCATCAATGGTAAAAGTTCCCTAAATTTTACCTTCATCGTCGGGTATATCCCATCATACCAAATAATACATATAGTTTTCTGTATGGGCTGTATTTCTTCTACTTCGTCAAATTCAGTCCTATATAACACGGTGTATTTAATATCTATTTGTCTTGAACCTGCTCCATCTGCGATCACTGTAAGTTTCACTTCGCAATGGTTGGAAGGTTTGAGGCTGTTCTAGTAATACGGAGAGTAGTTTAAATTTTGAGGAAGCAAACTTTTCTTAATAACACGATCAAATTTTAAGCAAACTTACAATATTCGACTCAATTTCAAACTTATCTCGGCTGTAGTCATCGCCCATTCCGTTAATAACATGGTATAATTTAGATGTAAAAAAACATGAACCATAATTGTATAAAGTCACGGTAAAAGTGTTACTTTCCCCCACCACTACATCATGAAAATTGTATGTCTTTGGTAAAACCTGAACAAATATAACAATATATAAAGAAGTTAATATTAAATAACATATTGAATAACGAATCCTAATCACCCTTAGATCTGGTAGTTCCGAGAAACCCATAATATGTATAAACATTTCCGTAGGTTCTCCAACTGGTCTGTGAAATATTTTATTTTCTCATTAGAAGAGTCAGATAAAATTAAAGCCCTTACAAAAATATTAAATTATTTATAATCTTATACTCACTTTCCGTTAATCAAACAAATACAGGAACACGTGATAGTTGTTTCGTAAACTTTATCAGGCTCTCTCGGGAAGAACCACCAGTGATAGTGAAATATTTCCTTAGGAGGTAATACTATGGAACCGCAATTGTCCGCGCCCAACCAGGAAGCATTCGAAAGAACTCTCATGCTGAACACAGTTACGAGAAAATAAATAATAAAATAGAGGAATTTACTCTACTATCTCTTTTCTAGCTACCATCTACACATTACTACTCTGTGGTATAGCTTCCAATGATTTGCAAAAAAAATCAAACACATGACTACATGCTAAACACGTCCTATATTTTATTAGTGATCTATGTATTATTGTAATCATATTCTTACATGTATTATGTAGCAGTAAAGCAGTAAGAAAATGCCTATATGAAGTCGAAGATATGACTAGGTTAAGTTACAAAAACTTCACAAACTGTATATCCATTCTGGTGAGGTTGTGAAGGTATGCGGTACAATAATTGGTACATCCAGTAACAGTTGGCGGGAACTCGTACATGGCGTGAGCGTCGGGATTGTATCCGTGAGACATCATCTCAATATGGCTGACTTCGGCATTACCTATGAAGCTTATACGAGCCTGGGAATGTTATATCAATGTATGTCTTATCATAATAGTATAGATTAAACTTAATCTACACTTAGACAATTTGTACATACGTAGTCTATACATACTACCAGTTAAAGATATACATATTATATTTGTAGTATAACTATGAGTAAGACTTAAGGTATAGCCTAAATAGTAACAGAACTTATATCATCCATTTGTACTGGTATCAATATTTAACTTTAAAAATATTCGTGTAATATGCAACATACGTTATGTATTTTGTTAATGATAAGATCCCAGTTTTCACAATATTCTCCAAACGACTTCGGTTCTAGAGCAACTGTTATTATTTGCCATCCACGCCCCGGTACGATTCCGCACATCGGCAAGGCAACAAAATTCCTGTCACATTATGTTAATTATAATATTCTAATACTTCCTATGGGCCTAAATACTATATTTCTTGAACAACTTTAGTTTATTTCATCTACTTTTGCTAAAAAAGTTTAGAGTCTGAATTAATAGCTAAGTATAGGGTATCCAAAACTAACGTATTTTCAGGAGCCTCCAACTTATAGTTCAAAGGTATTCCGAGTTTATTTGAAAGTAAAAAGTTTGCAAACGTCGTTCTTGTCGGTACAGTTGGGGGCATAACAACCTAGAACAATGTTATTTAATTTTAACTTTGACTTGCTCATATTTCGCTATCAACAACAATTTTAAAAATATTTTGCACCTCTATGGGACAGTCCCATTCAGTATTCCACTCGGTACATGGCGGCCATGTGTTACCAATGCATGGAATTCTAACCCATTTATGCTTCATTTTAACATTTTGTAACTGATCTCCATCGTATATTTTATATTGAAAATCACCACACAGCAGATAACCATAGGCTTCGTTGTGGATTTTTGGCCTGGTAAAAATTAATATTGATATTCTTAAGCAATAAAAAAATCAAATTGTTATACTGAATTTAAATATTTCTTAGAATTCAAACTCAGGTCCTTACGCCACCAGGTGAATCATTTATAGACTGAGAATAAGACATTAAATACACATATTAAACTTTAAAAACTAAAACTTTAATATTTTTAATTACCTGAAACGTATTGTAAACAGTCTTGATTCATTAGATGGAATGATTGACGCAATCGGATCGATCAAAAATACGTTATCTGGATCTGTGTTTAAAATGATTATTTGGCATATAAACCAAGATCACTTAGTTAAATAACTCATAACAATTTAGTGTAAACTACCAAGACTCGTTGGAGACAACGCTTTTAAAAACACTAGCATGAAATCGAGTATTTATTATACTAATGCTAATACTTTATTTTGAGGTCAAAGTCTCTCATTGGAGTAAAAAATAACGCTCAAAATATAATAGAATGATTGTCCTACGTAACAAAACATTTCAAAAATCGAATTCACTCTTCCATAAGCCATTTACCTGGAATCCATTGTATGCAACCCTCTTCCGTTTCATGATTGGTAACACATAGCGTCTGTGATATATTTAAAGTAACGTCGCTAACGCTTCCGGTTCCAAAATCAAGATATTTTTCAAAAACACTCGCCGACGGTATGTAACTCAAAAAGTTTAAACTATTTTCCATTAAATGTACTGATCGGCTTTTACGTCTTTTTTCGAATACATGTTCTTGTATTCCGTATAGTGGGTTACCAGATAATACAACTGAGGCTATTATATTTAAAAATAACGGCTCCTGGAATTAAGTTTCGATGAGTTTTATTTCTAAACTTTGATCCTTATTTTATTAACGTTCTTAATTTAGCCTATAAGGAAAACTTATGTCTTACATATTCACTAGAATTAATAAAGACTCGTATTTCTCAGAATTTTTTTTTAATAACTTTAAACTTAGAATTGAAAGATTAATCGATAACCATTGCATTCAAACTAAAGTATCGATTAAAAATATTTGAACTCAAAATTCTACAAGTCCGTATAAGATGTAACTGTATGCTTGTCGGCTTCATTTAATTATTAAGTTCTTTTTTATAAGATCAAAATTTTGTTTGTTATATATCACATAATTAAAAATTGTTTCAGCGACTCCAATACCTGATTCAAGACCAAAAATACAAGTTCAGCTGTGTACACTCCTAGAGCTGAACCCGTGAATATAATTGCAGTGGTAATAACTTCAAATGCACGAATAACACCGCAATTACCAGTTGAAATCTGATAAAAACAAAAACGCTATAATTTCATTGATTCTAAAAATTTACCAGTTTTTTTTTAGTATTTCAAAACCATACTTGAAAAAATCCTTGCCCTCCAACAGGTAACAACCATTGATAAGTAGCGTCGAGGGAGGATTTGTTTACGATTTTTATAAGTTCCTTTCTGTTTTCGGATACTCCTCTACATATTCTATATTCAAGTTTTCTTTTATTAATCGTCACTTCTGGACCTGAACCGAGACAAGTTATTCTATTGCACTAATAATATTATTGTTTCTACTTTACAAACATCCTCTCAATTCCTGTACTAACCATAACATTTGCCCTTGACAGTTAATCTATATGCATTGCCAGCCGTATCATCTATGAGATAGTGCTCTGTGTAAGATTGTCCTGGTACTTTAGGCTTGAAAATTATTCTAACCTCAACCGAATCAAATGATTTTATTGGATCGGGAGGAACTGACAACTTAAATACTTGGTCTATGTTATTTAAAACATGAAGCAAAGATACTCTATAAGTTAAATTGTCCTAAAATGCACACAGTACATGAAAATTAATACAAAATAATTATCTTCGACACTTTAAAGATCGGTTGATAATAATTGCAAGTGATTTTAACTTACATTTGTAACATTTTTAATTGTAATAATCTTTTCCGATACAGTGTCAGTAGGAATGGAATTGAAATCAACAATTTTAATATCAGAAATACTTTCTGATAAACAATTTTCCATTGTTTCAATAAAATCTTCTACGCCTATGTCCATTTAAAGCTTGTTACTCATTTTTTTATACTTCATAACCAGTTAAATGCGAAAAAAGGTTATCTTATGTTTCTTTTTAATTTAAAATAAAAAAATTATTTGTGAAAATGGTTGTATTTTTTTTAATTAATTATTAACAAAAAAATTGTAATTTGAGTTTAACCTGTGTATAGGTATTTTTATTAATATTTATGCGGCCAAAAAAAACAGATATGTAAGGGAGTTTAATCTATAAATATAGTGATTGAAATTTACATTAATGTACATACACTTAATCAAGTTTATAATTTATTGACAGTGATAAAACAAAAAAAAAACATGACTAAGATTTGAAATTCATTTTGTATGTAACGATTTTGCCCGTCGGTATCAATTATTTAAATTGTAGCACTGTCTGTAACTATGACAAAAGTGTTTTTAATCTGTGTAAGCAATATTTGCAGTACCTAGGTATTTGCTTTCGCAGTATGCAAATTATTGTTAGTTCTTAATGTATCTAAATAAAAAATATATTTATTGTTGTGTTACGTATTATCTAAATGTTAATTATAGTGTCTAAAAGTTGCCATAAATTGGTACTGCTATATAGTTAAAGGTGTGCTGTGTATAGTTATTATTTATTTAAACTTTTAGCTCTTAGTTGTGGGAACGAGAAGCAATTTTTATTTCCTGTTTGAAATGTTACTTTTGAGAGAAAACAAGTTAATAAATTTATTAAATAGCTAAAGGGCTAAAAATATAAATTATATAAAATGGATTCGGAAACAGATTGGTTGTGTGAAATATTACAAAATGTTCAACTCGAACAGTTTTATTTGGCAATTAGAGATCAGCTTCAGGTAAATGAAAATCATTGTATTTTATTATTTTGTGTATTATCATTGCAATAATTTTGAATATGATTTTAAAGATTACACGGTTAGCACATTTTGATTATGTGCATGCTGAAGACCTTGAAAAGATTGGTATTAGCAAGCCTGGAATACGAAGGCTGCTCGATGCTGTTAGGAAAAAGAAGCTGCAACTATGGAATAGAAAGTTTTGGAATAAGCTGTTTGGTTCACCGAGTTCGACATCGAAGGAAAAGACTGATATAGCAGTAAAGCCTCAAACACAGACTGAATCTCAGACAACATGTATAATACTGGAAAAGGATATTGTGTTAGTACTTACATATTGCATTTAAACAATCATAACTTTTTTATTTCTTAAAAATACTTCAATAATGAAGTATTCTTTTTCATCTTTATATGATGTTCTACAAAGTAATTTATCTTTTTTAAATTATATCATACTTATGCTCATCATTAATCTATTAACAATTTACAGATTACATAATGAATTAGGTAATGGATCATTCGGTGTTGTGAAACGGGGAGAGTGGAAGGTAGATCAATCAAACAAAACTATGCCAGTGGCCGTTAAAGTGTTAAAAGCAGATGCTTTTACCCAGCCGGGAATATATGATGACTTCAGAAGAGAAGTTGAAGCTATGCATAGCTTGAAACATCCAAATCTAATTAAATTACATGGCGTAGTCTTTCATCCATTGATGATGGTTTGTGAATTAGCCACTATGGGAGCATTGCTAGATTATATAAGAGCTCAGGATGGCAAAGTATCATTGCAATATATAGCGAAATGGTCTAGTCAAGTTGCAGCGGGAATGGCTTATTTGGAGAAAAATAGATTTCTGCATAGAGATCTAGCATGCAGGAACATATTATTGTCAAATTTAGAACTGGTATGATTTTTTAATTTATATTCTATATATCATTCCTAATAAAAATTATTTATTACATTCCTGATACAGATCTCACAAAGTTATATGGATAAGCTTTAAATAGTATTTAGTATAAACTTGTGAGGTATCAATTAAAATAGATTGGATGTTTATATATTTATATGATATGATATGATAATTACATTATTTCTGCTAATTTCAGGTAAAGATTGGTGATTTTGGATTAATGCGAGCATTACCGGACACCGACAACTGTTATGTTATGAGTGAAAGACGACGAGTGCCTTTTCCATGGTGTGCTCCAGAATCTCTTCGTTCGAGACAATTTTCACATGCATCCGATGTCTGGATGTTTGCAGTAGCATTGTGGGAGATGTATTCATTTGGAGAAGAACCCTGGCTCGGTAAACATGATTATTAGAACTATTTAACATGTAATAATTATGTTATTTGCTAATTATAAAGCCAGTTATAATTAGATTAATTGATTCTTAAAGGTTACTACATTAGATATTCAATAATGTGATTACTTGAACAATCAATAGTCTTAATAGCAATAGTATGTGTATAATATATACAAGAATAATGATTATACAAGTTATTAATTTTCTCTTGCATTAATTGATTAATATAATAATTGTTTGAATGAATAAGAAACAAAAAATCATTAAAATTAAACTGTTAATTTTTTCTAAAATATAAACTCCATAATGCGATTTATAAGGCTATATACATCTTTAAACAAAAAATGCAGTATTTATGTGTTTATAGGGTAAAAATCATTTAGTAATTCAGCTATATATACATATATTTGTACTATGTTCAATACATTAAAGGTCTGAATGGTTCCGAGATACTCCGTCTTATAATGCGTGAGGGTCATCGCCTCTCAGCCCCGGCCGCGTGTCCGCCGGACGTGTATATGCTGATGATGCAATGCTGGGATTTGGACCCCAAGGAAAGACCAACATTCGCTGGTATACTCAGATATATGGACACCAACCGCTTTGAAACAGCCATAGCTAATTTGAGGTCAGTTTACATCGGTAGTTTATTGATAATCTAGGATTATAAAGCTTTAAAAGTATATTATAAAGCTTTAGTAAAATTAGTATTTTCGATACATACAAAAAATGTTTTATATAACGCAATATTTCTTTGTATAAATAAATTAAATCATTAATTTTAAAGTAACATTTTTATTAGTGGATTATAATTAATTTTGGTTTGAGGTTACACTTGGGTGAGACTGAACAGATGGTGCAATATATCTAATATATAAAATAAAAATACTATGTATGAGGAAATTCTAAACATTTAATATACGTATTGTAATATTTTATTTAATGTTCTATTATCTTACAGCTATAGGAAGGCAGGTCAGATGTCCATAGAAGCGGGTGATTCAATCATACTCATTGATAAGAGGCCTGAACTACACTGGTGGAAGGGACAAAACCAAAGATCGCTTCAAGTAGGCCTATTTCCCAGGTATATACAGAATAATATTTATTTACTTATTTGGTATTTTTAAGGAATACAATGTCAAGAAAAATGTATGTAGATTAATATATATTATATCAGTTTCGGTCATACATTCTTGCTATTAGCACAATATAAGTTTTATTGAATATTACAAGAACAAATAGTATAATTAAATACTATTATTTTAATATAAATTTCATGTTTTGTTTATTTTTTCCAGTAATATAGTCACCATTAAAACTCAGAACAACCAAGCGGCTGTTAAATCTCATGCGTCTTTGAATCGAAAAGGTAAGACAATCCATAAAAAATATTTATTTCATTTTTGTGATATTTATTCAGTTTCGAAATATGTACATTATGGAATTTTATTTTTCTTCTAATATCCAACCAAATCCACAAAATCGTACTAATATTAATTGTTGCAACTTAATCGTATAATAGCCACAACAACCCCAAGGCCAATAAATATCGCAACATACATATTATATGTACGCCATGACAATATGTATTCATGAAACGTATTTCATTACGCCATGGCATTGAAACCTGCTAATCTATGACTAAACGGGTGTGACGAGCGACACATCGATTATAACACCTATGTTTGTTTTCTATCTAAGTATCATATTTAAAATGAATTCATTTTAAATAGTATTATTGTATGTATTTATTAATTTTTTTCTTCTTATTTGTGATCAGTTCTATACTATGAATAGATGTTTTATTCAGTTAGTTTTCCATAGCTTATCTTTTGTTATACATATTTATTATATGCATATATAGTGAAATGTTAAGTACTTACTTTTATACCTAACATAAAATTGTTCTCATAATCCACTGTCACACATATTGTTGTCTAACAAGCTTCTTCTAAGATTATTCTTTAATTTTTACAAATCAAATATCATAGTAATCTAACATATTACAATTTCGTACATCGATTTGATATTGATATTGATATTTAAGATAACATTGCTGCAAACAATATCTTGATTAATATTTATTATCTAGTATCCCATAATTAATGCACAGATGATAAATGAATTCACACACTAGACAGATAAAATAAATCAAATAATAAATTTAAAATTAAAAAAAAGTGGGTGGTGTAGCTCTGCACAGAAGAAATGAAACATATGCTTGGTAGAAATAAATTTTCGAATGAATGAACACAATTTGTTTCTTTAATTGCTTACATTTCACAATTGAGTCGTATAGAATCAAAGGCGGCAATCTACACTTAGACTGAAATCAGAGAATTGAACATTTTCGGTTTGTGTCGTCCGATTCAAAAATAATATTACGTAACTTTATTTTAAGTGATGTAAGTATTGATGCGCTTAATATTAAACTCTCATTGTGTACTATAACAATAACAATTTGAAGAAATTTAGAAAAGAATTTTGCAGAATGCCGGATTTGAAACCAAACATCTGAGAATGCCGTATTTGATACCAAATTATGTCGAGATTGCCGTTTATGAAACTGACTAAAAAATTAACTCGTTCAGGGTTGTCAAAAGGATATAAAAAAATGTTATAAATTTGTTTTAAGTATAAGTGTATTTTAAAAAAAGCTGTCAATTATAATTTAAAACTGTGTAACTTTTTTCAGATTTTGTTTAGGAATATTAAAAGAACCGCATGAAAATCCATTCACACATATACGCATAGTATAGTGGTCAACTTTATAACACTCATCTTTTGTTAGGGTTAAAAAACATAGAATACACTTTGTCTTAGTCGTGACGTGACAGCCCTATTTTACTTGAGTTTCGTCGCCAAGTTTGTTTCCATTTTTCTGAGTTTCTCTGTCGTTTCCGGGCAAACTTATTTATTACAGGCTTAGAATGTACATCCATGATTCAATTTATACATATATTTTATAACAGTAATCACAATAAATAAAATAATTCAATAAAACACGGACACAAATTCGTTAGAAACTTCATACAGACGTCATTAGATCACGTGACCACACGGACGCTTGTGATTGGTGGAATGAGTTAGAATGCCGGGTTTGATTCTTATGCTGTTGAAGATTGCCGGATTTGATGCTAAACCTGATTTTCAAAAAGGATTTCACTGCGAGATAGTAGTTTTTGTTATAAAGTAAATGAAGTACGTAACGTTATTTTGAATTTCCTGTGTGTCCATATAAAAATCTCTATTTTGACAAAATATGCAGATTGCCGCCTTTGATTCTATACGACTCAATTGATCCACCCTCTCGCTCCGTCTCTTTCTATTCTCCTTCCGAAGAGCGTTGAACGTTTAACGCAACTTTGTTGAAAGTCGCATTAAAAAATTAACTTCCATAAACATATAAGAAATAAAAATATAAGCAATCGATTATAAATTTCAGTGTCAAATCCAACAAGTGAGGAGGAAGTGATACTTCGTAGACGGCGTACTATTGAATCGACACAAGCTCCAACAACACGAGCCGGGAACACGTCCAGCAAACATTTTAATTACAATAAACTGGTGAACGATAGAACGAGGACTGTAAGGGATAACTACTCCAAGAGCTTAGGACAAGGTGAGAAATATGTTGGACTGAGTCTAGGTTAAACTGAGCATAGATGCCTGAGTTTACATTAAGCTATGCTATATATACGCCAGGTTATAGGTAAAGCTTAACATGTACCTGAGTCTAGGTTAAATTAAAAACAAAGGCGCTTGAGTCTGAGGCTATTTGATGTGAAAAATTAATAATCCCGAGAAAAATTAAAACAATATGTAATTCTGAATAAAGGTAAAGCTAGTAGATACTAATTTGTATGTACAATTTTTCTACACAATTTTGCTTCGTAATCTAAACATTGCAATTTTTAATTTATATGACCTCAATTTAATATGGTATTCTATGTATTACAGTTAAAGAGGACCTGCTTATCGACTTAGACCTACCGCCGTGCACTAAAACAACGCCTACAAAGAAACAGACGACACAAAACAATGTATCTATATTGGATGAACCCATCGATGTACCTGAAATTGGTAATTATTGAGCTCTAGAATATTTGTCCATAAATCATTTCAAATTTGATCCTTAAAAACTGTGATGTCAGCATTGCTGACTATTAGTTGTGAAATTACTACTGCGGCCAAACTAAGGGGAAATGCCGCTAATAATATCAATAATCGACGTTAACCGTAGGTGTGGCCATAACCCATAATTGCTAAAATTTATAGATTTAGTTAGAGTTTAGACGATATCTCAGGTGGTGGTACATCAAAGAGAATTTAGCGTTCATTATCGCGATGTAGCTGCCACACTACATATTGTCAGTGTGCGTCGAGAGCGCAACGCTAGCGAACGTATTTGTTTAAAATAAATAGAAAGTCTTTCTGTTTATTATAAATAAAAAAAAGACTTGCAATGTATGATTTCTGTGCATTTATATCATACATCATCTTCTTTTTCTTTGTTTCCGTTTTCTTTTTATTCGCTAATAATTCAATAAAGTCAAATACATAATATAAATTTACACTCATGAAATATAGAGCCCTGTCGACGTCCACCTTGCTTTAATGAAAATAAATTATGATAAATTGAAAGCCGTTTTAACTGAACGATAATGAGCATTAACGTTAACCGTTGTAGTGTGGCCACCCATTATATTGCGCTAAAAATTTACCTTTTAATTATAGTGATAATTGGCATTAACGTTAAACCTTAGTGTGGCCGTAGCGTACAAAGCCAGACTGTTAACTATGACGTCACAGTTAGTCTAATTGTGACGTCACAATTAATCTGATACCTGTTACGTCACAGTTTCTCTTCTACATATATCGTAGTTTTCCAAGTCACATAAAAGGCTCGATCACACTTTCACTTCCTTATTTAGTTGAACTTGTTTATACGAGTTTTTAACGGGAATGCTTTAGCAATACTGTTTCCAAGATTTATGTTTTCCAACTAACTCATTTGTTTTTGTATCAATTATAAAGTTACATTGAAATATTTCTTAACATTTATAAATACAATTTTATATTGCAACATTAGAATTTATAGTGAGTTTGATTATTATTTAGTTACTGTTAAACTTCTAGTTGAATGAAAACTTTAATAATTAATCTAATATATTAATTGATCAGGGAAACATTTATTGTACTAAATAAGTAACTATCATCACGGTATTAATTAAGAAATAATGATTACAGTATACAGTGTACATAAACATTTAACGGATAATAAGCAATTACTAAATCGTATTCAATTTAAAGAAACCCATAGGCATTTCTGTTTAATGGTCATACTAGCACACATACGCGGAAAATGATTTACATAATTCTAGAAAAGAGCCGTTACTCTTAAATTGCTGGAATTATATTGGCAAAACTGAAACTGGCTTTCAAACAAAAAAAATTGAAAGTTGTCTATCCGTTGGAGAATTATATTCACATTCACACCGACATACACACATTCACCAACAGGCACGGACGTTAAAATTTATAACTTTTTTGCACCCAGGGTTAAAACCAGGAAATACTAATACACTACTTAGTTTATACTATAAACAAAAATTATATAAACTGTGTTTGTAAAAATTCTATTATAAAAAATATATATGATTAAAATTAAAAACAAATGAGTAACACTCAAGCCAAAAGTTATTGATAGAATGATAATAAAAAAATCCAATCGGTTTGATTAATTCTTATACATTTTGATATTTTTTTTCTAATACATATATACTAAATCGATATTTAATTTTCCAGGTCCTGAATTAGATTGGGGTCAGCAGAGCATTGAAAGTCTGCCAACGTATTGTACGGAACCACAGACGAGTCGAAGCATATATGGTGCTAAGTCATTGGATGGATTGAATATTACACTACCACAAGCACAGGATCCTTTCGATACTACGAATCTTTGGATATCAAACAACGAATCTCAATCGAGACCCAACTACGACATACAACTCAACGATTCACTCAACCAACTCAGCATTCAATCTCAGACATACTCGAATACATTAGCAACTAGTTCAGATGCGGAATTATATAACAATGTAGTTCCCGTCGCCTTGAACAATACTAACCAACAAAACAATCAGAATAACTACGGAATGTTATCCAACGCGTATACGACTTCTATACAAGCGACCAATAGAAGTACGTACAACGAAAATACGGCTTCGGAAAATAAATACGAATCTAATATTAAACCACCGACACAGATATCGCTGGACGATAGAATATCTGAATCATTGAATCTCAGAGCTAAGAATACTAATAGCGATTTATACGCTAACTGCGACACGCCTGCAACATCTCACAACACAAACGGCGGGTATACAGATATACCGATATACAGTAATTTCGAAATCAATCCAACACAACCATTAGTATTAGAAACTAAGGATTACTACAAGAAACTATCTACGCCAGCCAGTAGTATAAATATGGACTACCAAAAAAACATGTACGTCCCTAAACATGAAGATGGGGAGAAATTGAAGAATTTCAGTGAGAATTTGGAAAATTCCAAAAATTATTCAGTATTTAAAACATATCAGAATATAGATTACTTGCAGTACAGTCATTACGGGCCGTCGACCTCGCGCCAGGCTACGTACGACGAGGTGAACGAAACTAACATATACAGTGAGATCGGCGAGCCGAGTGTGTATTCGAGCTCGACTTACATGAATACGAATACAAGTACACATCCGAATACGAATACGTGTGTGTACGATGAAGTATACGAACCGGTGCCTCGCCCCCACAGACCCGCACCGCCCTGTCCATTTAAACGATGAGATTATATGACATTTAACTATAATTTATTCATTAAAAATATTGTAGCGCTTCATTGTTGTAATCTTTACATTTTTATTAATAGTCCAACGAGGCAATGATAGTCAAAACTATTTTTTATTAAGTCTGATATCGATTAAACGTTGATTCGTTTATAAGAAGATGATATATTAAAATTATCGTTTTATATCTACTAGAGAAATAGGTAAAGAGGTTAATAAATTAAATTGCAAGCGGTTGCTGGTTACGATAAAATTATTATTTTATCTCGAATTTTATAAATTATTGAACTCATAATAAACTCAAATATGATAAAAGTAAACAGTAAAATCTCTACAAGTATATATTTTAATTAATTTAGTTTTTTGATATTCTGAACATCACAATAAGGTGCCTCACCGCAAAGTACCTGTTAGAAATATAAATAGTAATAGTCCGTAATAAATGAAAAATATTATTTTCATTATAAGACGATGATATTTTTCACTGTTTAATTATTATCAAATTAATGGTATTAAAAAGTTACTCGAATTGATTAATTTTGGTGTATGTTATACATATATTTTTATACTCATAAAGAATACAGACAATATTTAGTTAAATACACATAATGTATTGTTAACATTCACATTGTGTAGTTTTCGCCGTTGTTGCCAATTTAAATGTATATTAAGAATAAGTTTTCTTTAAATCTATTAATATGTATGAAAAAAATGCAGCTAATTTATATTTTTATCTGTCAACTATATTAATTACCTTGATATTTAGATTCATTGGTACTTTACATTTGTAAATCAAGTGTTGCATGACAGATAATTAAATATGTGTATACAGTCCATTTAAATTTATGTATTTATATGAAATTAAATATAGTTTTGTAACTATTAACACTAGTAGATGTGATTTTTTTTATTGAATTATGATTTTTGTTTAATATATTCTGACAATGTTGTATATAGTGTATTGCAGCTGTATTTTTCTAAACATTGTATCATATTAACAGTTATCGTAATAAAGACATTAACAGTAGCTTGTGATATTTATTGAGTTTAAATCATATATATCGGCGCTATCAGCTTTAATAACGGATGGGATATGAAAATAATTTGAGGCTGTCATCAATTCTTATTAAACCTCATTAGTATTTATGATTATTGTTAAAAGTAAAACGAAATCAAAGATTGTTTAAAAGGAGAATAGAACTATGTTTAAATCTTGGTATAAATATGACGTCTGGACGCACGACGGCCGAGTTAAGAGTTCAGTGAGTGCGTATCATTAAAGTAAGTGATTATGAAGAAACTTCGAGAAATATAGGAGTATTAAGAACAATTGAAGTTTCATTTTAAAATATCATGGACCGTTCTAGAAGAAGTGACATTTAGTGACGTCAGCGAGGCTGGCGTCCTTCTCTTTAAAAACAAGGAATCTGTAATAAATCCGATATATATATTAATAATATATATGTCATGTCTAGTTGATATACACCTTTATGGTAAAGAAAATATATATTTTTTATTATACATATATTTATACTAGTCTTTGTCCGCGACTTCGTAAGTCTGAACTTCGGAATGAAACCCAGATAGTATTTTTTTTATTTTTTTTTATTTAGACTTTAGACAAAATACAATTTTTATTAATTTATACATGAAAACAAAATATCCTGATACACTACATAAATGTAAAATTTTATCGATGTAGTTACATTTAGTAGTTTTACTTGATCCGTACATTTACTAAATTACGCATTTTTAATATTAGTTAGATGTTGAAACCTGTGTATTGTAATACTGTGAAAAAATTAAAATTTAACTATGAATCGTTAAATAAAATTTTTAGACATAGAAATGTGATAAAAACATTAATTGCGTAAAATAATTTAACAGTTAACTACCTAACAGCAACATTTTCACATGATTTGTTTTCCAAGTCCATCGTGGCTTTAATATTTATTTTTTTTTAATGAAGAAAGGTCTAACTTCTTAACGAGGTCTAAATTCACTTCCTCAATTATTCATCTATCTATTGGATATCCGCTCTAATTTCACCTCTTCAGCTAAACAAACAACTTAAGCTGAACAATAAATAACCACTTTGTGTTTTTTAATTTTCTCCTAAAAACGTATCATGGAGTAAACTAAATTTTTTTGAGGTCCTAAACAATGCAAAACACACAAAAAAGTAATACAAGTTAAAGAGATTACATATGTATAAAACCAAATACAGGCTACCGTAAAGCTAAAGGTAATTAATAAAAAAATAATTAATATTAAAATTTGTAAGGATATAATAGTTTATACACTCATATCAACGGCAGCGCTTCGCCCGGTCCTAGAACGTTGAAACGAACAATGAAACGTATAATTTGCGGACACGTATAACGCTTCGATTCGGTATCTACTTTGGATTCACTTTCATTTACTTAGAGAAGTTCAACTAAATAACACTTCATTTTTGTAATCGAAATGAATTCATTACTGTTGTGAAATAAATTAAAAATTTGCCTTTTCAAATATAAAACAAAAAAAAATATGGATGTTTGTAAAGTAGGTTTATGATCGAGATGTTTACGTGATAACGTCTTATTAGTGATATAAGTTTTTGGGAAGTAAAACATTCAACGAAAACTTAACCGCACGAGAAAATCTCCATTCGTTTGTATGCCGCTAGAGTGAGAGAGACGGAAGATAGGTCCACTCACTCAAACGGTATGCCTGCCTCCGCTCGTGAGGATTCCGCGTGATAAGTTCCACGGAATGACTGGCAGCGCTCGAGATGAGACGGGAGATCGGTTCATCTCTCTCTCGTTATACCTACGATCGCGCTCGTGAGGTTTTGGTGTGACACAAGTTTCTGAACATGTCATCCGACTAAAACGATTTTAAAGACGTTATCACGTCAAAAATCTTCATCTTTTAGTCACCAAACGAAATGTTATATAAAAGCCTTCTGGTGGCGAAACGGAATTTGCCAGGTTTACTAGTATATATACAGGGTGACTGGTGAATTACTATCAATATTTAAGGAGAATACTCGGTACATGATTCTCATTCGAATTATGTAAAAAAAATAGGTACTTAATTTTTGTCCAAATTTCCGCATAAATAAATAAAGTGTGGACGCGTGCGGCGGCGTGCTGATACAACACTACTGTGTGTGTGTATACTGCTGATACAACACTACTGTGTGTGTGTATACCTAATCTGTAGGGTGTTCACACGATGCGTAATTAATTACATAACTTTTGGTTAACTTTACTTAGAAGTTTATTTATATTTATGTTATATTAACTTTTATTTTGTCATACATGATCGTTAAATATCACGTCCTCAAGTATCGATAGTAATTCACCAGTCACCCTGTATATATATCTTTATATATATAATTCTTCTGTTAGTGTGTATGTCACTGAACTTCTCTCAAACGACTGGACCGATTTTGATGAATTTTTTTTGTGTGTTGTCAAGGAAATCTGGAAATGGCTTAGATTCACAATTTTGTCCGCTGGACAATGTTTATTTATATTATTTATAAATGTTTTTTAATTTATTAGTAGTTGTTGATACAAACGTTTTATTTTTGACATTAGATTTGATAACTAACTAATATGACAATCATTCTGTCGCACTTCAAAACACGGAGATTTATGGCTTAAAGGTAAACTCCAAAAATATAAATAAAAAAACGTAACCGATATTTCTTGATTATAGGGCGGTACGAAGTTCGCCGGGTCTTCCAGTATATATATACAATATACATTGCATATATGTATATAATTAATCGATATAAAACTGTATAAGCGACTCCCTTGACTTTGTTGTGGTGTTGTTCAGGGATATTTTAAGACATAGGAAAGGAAATTAAATGTTTTGTCCTAAGGGCTTTTGCGAAATTGGACAAGATGGATGAAAATGTAGGTGTGTGTAAGCATTTCTCCGAAGGCGGACCTGGTGTCAATTTTTAAATGCGAAATTGAAATGCACGGTCATATTTCCGAAGAACAAAAAAATAAGGGATTCAATAGCTTTGCGGTACGAAAAAATAAATAATATGTGTAATTATATGATAACTAGCATGGTTATTTTTTCAATTGTAGATGCCATAGTGAGTTAAGAAAATTAACGCATTTACTAATCCGATTACGCCAGGATCCGACTTGTGAAACGAAACATAAAACTTGGTAACATATAAACAAACAGCTCGTGGTACTTACATTAAATGTTATGGTGTGTGTTAATTCTTTCCTTTTTTCTTCTTGTTCTTTTAATTTCTTTTTCTTCTTGTAATTCTTACAAATTCTTTGACGACTGTGCTCTTTTTCTACAATTTCCAGTATTATTAAATAGGCACATATTTTTCATTTTCTTAAAGTTTATACAGATGAAACAACCGCATTATTTTCAAATTTCCTTATTTTTTCCTTATTTCATTATTTTCAAATTGGCTTCCCATACGAAACCGCTGGGATATAGACATTCTCGACTGTATTATGTTTAAATCGATCATAATTTATTTTTATTTATTAATCACTGTAGAGGATCTCACAGATTCACTTTTTTTAACCCAAATTAATTCCAATGTTATATTTTGTTAACAATATTTTTTACGGGTTTACTTAGTTTATATATATTTCTTATTAGACATTTTAATCGGCTTTCAGACTATTTTTTCCTAAAAACTGTAGGCTAGATGAAAGAGTTTTGTCATTCAAACGTAGTTTTATTTAAATGTGTATTTACTCGCAACTCTTAGTCTTAAATTTTTTAACTTTGTTTAATTAGAACTCTCTGTCGCTTTTTATCAGAGTCTAAAAATTTGTACCGGTTTTTTTTCCTGAATGTTTAATACTTATTAGCTTTGTTTCTAAGGTTTTACCTATTTAATAATATTTCTACTCTTCTTTTCAAAAATTGTTTAACTTTAACTTCCTATAGCCACCTCAATAATTAATCGGTTGAAATGTCTTCAGGCCTTAAGCTGTCTAAAAAAAATGCAATTG